AGCAATTTCCAAGTCTGTGACTTCCTGTTTCTTACGGGGCAATAAAAATTATTCTGATTCTAATATAAACAGTCACACAAGGGATTAAAAGAAGAGAAGAAGCCTGTCTGACATTTTCAGGAAGACTTATCCAGATTTTAGCTGCATCAGTCTAAAACACTGCCTCCACATGTTTAGTCCTGACTCTTAATATTTGTATAGAAACTTCTTTGCTCAATTATTTCAAAACTTGTACAGCACACGTTATAGTTGTCTGTGCTCCCACGCAGATGTGGTGCAGAGGCTGCACCACCTCTGCTGCTGTGACCCGTCCTGCTCCACCCAGAGGCTACCCCACCTCTGCTGCTGTGACCTGAAGGCCTGTTGCTGATTATTACTCTTGTTAGCTTTTGAAAATTATCTTTTTTTTTTTTTTTTTTTTGGACACCTACTACTACCGGACACCTGAATGATTTTTGTTTTTAAATTTAAACTTATTATTGATACTAAAGTTACAGATTTTGTTTTATTTTAATTAGTATAGCTATTGTTCACTTAACTTGTGCGCTCCTCTTTCCTACTGTTGTATAACTTGTGATGCAATACTGACATTTTCCCACTGTGGGATGAATAAATGATTGAAATAATTTCTCCTAAGAGGATCAATAAAGTATCTATCTATCTATCGATCTATGTGTGAGCTCAGGACCATGTGACGGCTGCATGGTCCAGGTTTACTCCACTCTTACTTTTCTCAAACCCACAACAGTGCAATTGTGGCTGTACCTGCAGGGTATAGCCAGATCCCGTCAGACATTCGACGCTAAGCAACGCTGGGTCTGGTTAATACTGTGATGGGAGACCTCTGGGAAAACCAGTAGTGGCTGCATCTGTGCCAGTGTCATTGTGTCCTTAGGCAAGACACTTCACCCACATTTGAATGCGTCTAGTGTGTGTGAATGGTTAGTGCTGGTGGGAGGGGCTGATGGCACAGACTGGCTGCTTCGCTTCTGTCAGTGTGCCCCAGGGCAGCTGTGGCTACAGTAGTAGTTTATCCCCACTTTGTTTGGAGGGAATGAATAATGACATGTGAAGCATCTTTGAGTGTCCAAAAAAAGCGCTGTATAAAGTGGACATATATCATTATCATTAAATGCTCCATGAGATCCTGATGAGGTCCTGATGAGGTCCTGATGAAGTCCTGACCAGGCTCAGTGTCTGGAGATGGTTTTCTGGTCGATCACACATGAGGCCACATTCCACGAGGCCAAAAAAGTGTTAATTTTATAGCATCAGTGATTCTTGTGAACATTCAATTCAATTCATTTGCAGACGGAGGACCAGTGGGGATTCATAATAAACAGAGAAACCCCAGATATAAAATACAATAAAGTGCAGAAATGTATTTTAGGCAAGGAACATTTATTTTTATAGCACAATTCATACACAAGGCAACTCAAAGTGCTGAACAAAATAAGATTGTGATGTGCTACTTATTCCTCTGTTCTTGCTTTGGTTTCGTCTAAATTGCTTTTATCAAATCAACATTTGTTTTTACACGTTGGATAAATGACCACAATATGGCACTTGTTGTAAAAGTGTTTGTGGTGTGTGTGGTTTGGACGAGTCGCTGAAGCTCTGGGTGCAGTCGCAATAATAACAGTAGTATCTCTCCCACTCTCCTCTGATTACGCTCTACAGTTGTTTACACGTGTACTGCTACCATTTCCACCCGCAAGGATCTCTATGAAGAACAGAAAGTCCGCTTCTTTTATTGTAAGAGCGCAGGAAGACACTGTGGGTGGGGGGAAGCACCTGACCTGCTCGCCTATAGAAACGGTATCCCAGAGATTCCATTTGCTTCAACTGCTTATGAATAATAACGTGGAAATTACAAGAAATGCTCCAAAATAACTGACAACGTATAATGAAATATGTTAATAAGGTGCTGTCAAACGGATGGTCTTTATCGGTCTATGGGAGAAGGAGTGCATGAGGTTTAGAGGCCTCTTCTTCTGCTGTGGTGGGAGTGTGGTCCTGATCTCTGCGTCTCTGTGAGGTGAGTGAAGTCTCGGATATTTGCCAGAAAAGGAGCTGGGATCCAGACACACCGCTGCAGAAGACACTTCATGCACATATGCACACACTTCTAAAGTTCTGATAAAAAGTCCTAAGTCGCTCTGAAACAGTTGTTGTTTTGTGTCTTTTTTCTAGCTGTAAAGTTATAATGGACTCAGACTTAAATTCAAATTGCCACATAAAATTGGTATCAGCAGCTTATTACCACCCAAAAACATAGCTACAATCAAAAACATAGTGTCTAAGCAGCCGCGTTTCCACTGCAGAAGTTCTTGGTAAAATGAGCGGGGTGGAACTTCTACAGGAACCGTTATTAATAGTGATACATCTGAAGGAAATACATTGAATGTAAAGTGTAAACAAATATAAAATATTAATTGAAATGGTTTTCCCATTAAGTCACGGTTTGTCCATCACGAACACCATGTTTGAGCACAAGGGTGTCCACCAGTGCACGTGGCACCAGGACACCCTAGGCCGGAGGTCGATGATCGACTTTGTCGTATCATCTGACCTTCGACCGCGTGTCTCGGACACTCGGGTGAAGAGAGGGGCGGAGCCCCTGGGTGAGTTGGATCCGCTGGCAGGGGAGGAAGCCGGTCAGACCTGGCAGACCCAAGCGTGTAGTGAGGGTCTGCTGGGAACGTCTCGCTGATCCCCCTGTCTTTCACACCTCCGGGAGAGCTTCTTCCAGGTCCCGGCGGAGGAGGGGGACATGGAGTCCGAGTGGACCATGTTCTCTTCCTCTATCGCCGATGCGGCGGCCCGTTGCTGTGGTCGCGAGGTCTCTGGTGCTGGTCCCGGCGGCAACCCTCGAACCCGGTAGTGGACACCGGCAGTAAGGGATGCTGTCAGGCTGAAGAAGGAGTCCTATCGAGCCATGATGGTTCGTGGGACTCCTGAGGCAGCTGTCCAGTACCGGCAGGCCAAGCGTGCCGCGGCCCGGGCTGTTGCAGAGGAGTTCGAAGAGTCCATGGAGCGTGACTATCGGTCGGCCTCGAAGAGATTCTGGCAAACCGTCCGGCGCCTCAGGCGGGGGAAGCAGTGCTTTGCCAACACCGTGTACGGTGCGGGTGGAGAGCTGCTGACCTCGGTGGAAGGAAAACTTCGAGGTTCTCCTCAATCCCCCCCGTCACGTTCTCAGAGGCTGAGGATGTTGGGGCGGATACTTCTATCTTCCTGGCAGAGGTCACCAAGGTGGTTCGCAGCCTCCATGGTGGCAAGGGGCCGGGAGTGGATGAGATCCGTCCTGACTATCTCAAGTCTCTGTATGTTGTGGGACTGTCTTGGCTGACACGTCTCTGCAGCATTGCGTGGCGATCGGGGGCGGTGCCAATGGAGTGACAGACCGGGGTGGTGGTCCCTCTCTACAAGAAGGGGGACCGGAGGGTGTGTTCCAATTATCGTGGGATCACACTCCTCAGCCTCCCCGGTAAGGTCTACTCCAAGATACTGGAGAGGAGGCTACGGCCGATGGTCGAATCTCGGATTCAGGAGGAGCAGTGTGGTTTTCGTCCCGGTCGCGGAACACTGGACCAGCTCTATTCTCTCCATCGGATACTCGAGGGTTCATGGGAGTGCTTTGTGGATTTGGAGAAAGCGTTCGACCGTGTTCCCCGGGGTGTCCTTTGGGGGGTTCTCCGGGAGTACGGGGTCCGGGATCCTCTGCTGAGGGCCGTCCGGTCCCTGTATGACCGGAGCCAGAGCTGCGTGAGCATTGCCGGCAGTAAGTCAGACCTGTTCCCGGTGCATGTTGGCCTCCGCCAGGGCTGCCCTTTGTCACCGGTTCTGTTCACTGTGTTTATGGACAGAATTTCTAGGCGCAGCCAGGGGCCGGAGGGGTCCGGTTCGGGGACCTAAGGATTTCATCCCTGCTTTTTGCGGATGATGTTGTCCTGTTGGCTCCAACGAACCAGGACCTGCAACATGCACTGGGACGGTTTGCAGCCGAGTGTGAAGCGGCTGGGATGAGAATCAGCTCCTCCAAATCCGAGGCCATGGTGCTCAACCGGAAAAAGGTGCTTTGTCCTCTCCAGGTGGGTGGGGAAGTCCTTCCTCAAGTGGAGGAGTTCAAGTATCTCGGGGTTGACAGGCGGATCGGTGCAGCGTGCGCAGTGATGCGGTCGCTGTATCGGACCGTTATGGTAGAGAGGGAGCTGAGCCGAAAGGCAAAAAAGAGCTCAATCTTCGTTCCCTCCCTCACCTATGGTCATGAACTTTGGGTAATGACCGAAAGAACGAGATCACGGATACAAGCGGTCAAAATGAGCTTCCTCCGCAGAGTGGCTGGGCGCTCCCTTAGAGATAGGGTGAGGAGCTCAGTCACACGGGAGGAGCTCGGAGTATAGCCGCTGCTTCTCCACGTCGAGAGGAACCATTTGAGGTGGCTCGGGCATCTGTTCCGGATGCCTCTTTGACGCCTCCCTGGGGAGGTGTTCCGGGCACGTCCCACCGGGAGGAGGCCCCGGGGAAGACCCAGGACATGCTGGAGGGACTATGTCTCTCAGCTGGCCTGGGAACGCCTTGGGGTCCCCCCGGACGAGCTGGAGGAAGTGTGTGTGAATAGGGAAGTCTGGGTGTCTCTGCTTAGACTGCGGCCCCCGCGACCCGGCAACGGATGAAGCGGAAGAAAATGGATGGATGGATGGATGGGTTTTCCCATTACGATTGAATTTTACTACTACTTTGTACAAGTCACACAGCAAGATAATCCAGATACTTGTCCTGAATGCATAATTGTGTGTATGTAATTCTAATTGCTCTTAAAATATAGATGTAACGGGTAATGCATTCCTTTTTCTGTCTTTTTTTTTTGGATTGAATATGCGGTAACCACATGCACTGTAGAGACTCTTCACACTACAATTGCCCTTCCTGCAATACAACACTAATTAGAAAATCGGATATGGAAAGGCATTTATGTACATGTAATGGTCCTCTTCTCACAGTTCCTCTGCAGTCCTCATCCCGAACAGTTCCTCTACAGTCAGCCCTGACAGATCCTGTGCGGTCCTCAGCCCTGACAGATCCTGTGCAATCAGCCCTGACAGTTCCTGTGCAGTCAGCCCTGACAGTTCCTGTGTAGTCAGCCCTGACAGATCCTGTGCGGTCCTCAGCCCTGACAGTTCCTGTGTAGTCAGCCCTGACAGATCCTGTGCGGTCCTCAGCCCTGACAGATCCTGTGCGGTCAGCCCTGACAGATCCTGTGCGGTCAGCCCTGACAGTTCCTGTGCAGTCAGCCCTGACAGTTCCTGTGCCGTCCTCAGCCCTGACAGTTCGGTCGACACTAGATCATATACGGAATCGGGACGAAACCGGAAGTAACAATCCTACTTTCAAATAAATTTTAGACTAATTTGTCCTTAAATGGTGACTGGGTTTTAGGTGTTTAAGTAAGATGGTTAAGGTCAAGGTTAAGGGTGGGTTGGGGTTATTTTATGGGAATGGCTGGTTAAGTTTAGGCATGAATAGGTAGTTTGTTATTTTTACTTCCGCTTCCGTCCCGATTCCGTATATGATATAGTGCTGACCCTCCCATAGGTTGCCAAATCCCAGGAAGATTTTCCAACCCAAAATCCGCGAGAATACCCACACACACAAAAAAATCCTCTTTTTTTTGGGCTAAAAACTTAATATAATCAACTTGGGCTATCATGATTCTGTTTATTGTCTTTCTTTTTATTTAATACCTACAAGTCTCTTGGAAAAAAATATGCGGGAACCACCAAACCTGGCTACCCTGCTGTATAGTGTGTAAACAGGAACACTGAACCATAGCTTCAACCAAACTTTACAGGAACATTTGACTCTTAAAACACACATATATCAGCATAGAACCATCTACATCTCGCCTCAAATTGCATTAAAAGTGACATCCGTGTCTTAATTCGATCGTGTTTACTCTTTTAACCCCACGTTACTCTATAAATCCCACGTAACACCGGTGTTTGACCGAGAGACTTCAAAAATTCACAGCAAGTAAACTAGAGTGGTCCAAAAAAAATCACCCCCCTCAGCATTGACACACATGTGGAACGGAGCTTTGGGCCAAGAGCCAACTTTTGGTCCATCCTGTAAAGACGTTTTCGAGAGGTCTGCCAACGCTATATGTTAGCATTGGCTAATTCTTCTTCTGGGTCCACCCCCATCGGCCCGGGGTGGTATTGCAAGCATGTCAGCGCACGTCATTTTGGCCACTTTTGAGCTGGGACCCGCCCCCACTGGTGGAGATGCACATTTCAACAAAGGGTGCAAATCTCGACAAGGGTGCACTTCTCGACAGAACACCGGCCATCCTGATTGGTCGATTAAAAAATAATCTGGGGAAGGCGTTCGCTATGGCGTCGATACCAGACCCATATGGTTCAGCCAAACGCCTCTGGTGGAGCATGGCGGAACTACAAGGGTCTGGCAGAGCCAGGCTATGGTCCTTCAGCTCCAAGCCTAATAGATCCATGCTCCAAGCTGGTAATACCCTATCCAGTTATTATTATAGATCTATGGTCGGACCCCTCGGTGGCGTCATTATTGTGAGACAGTTTCAACGGTGACGTCAATCAGGCGAGTCACAAATCATATCAACCATAGACATATATAGAATAGACGCCGCATCTACCGCTACTGTCCATTGGCGCCGACGAGCCGTAGCGCCGCCATCTTGGACCGGTCGCCCGCTCCTCTCAGAGTAATCTGTTTAGCAGGCGCAGTGACGAGTCAGCGCATTTAATCAATCATAACTCGCTGAATACGTCACTGATTTTCACACTTTTTTTTTTTTACTGTAAACCACACACATGTAGCTATGACACAGGACTCATGGTTTGGCGTATGTTAATATTCATAGTGGGTTTAACAGTAATAGAATATTTTGATATATGATATATGTGATGTGTGACAGGAATTTTGCATAATACACAATGTTGTATCTATACTCACAAAATGTTAGGGACATTTATTCAACAAGTGAAATACTGAAACATACACACACATGTGTATATATGTATATATGTATATATATATATATACACATATATATGTATATATATATATGTATATATATATATACATACATACATACATACATACATACATATATATATGGAGAAACATAGTACTTGAAAAGAAATTATATATATATTTGTAATATGTTATTATAACATATATATTATATAATAGAATAGAATATATTAGTGCTGACAGCCTTATGGTGATAAACCTACTCTTTGGAGATGAACCGGGAAGCTGAAGATGGATGGAACAACACCATCTCTGAGTCGGATAATCTGACCTGTCCGGTCCAAATCTTCCTGCTTAAAATGCTCACTGCAAAGCACGGATGAATCACTTGCAGTGAATCTTTCCCTCCTCATAGCCACTTCCCACTTCTTCCTACCATTTCTGTCTCTGGGAAACCTTCAAAATGTAAATACATGAATAAAACAACAACAACAACAACAAATATATTACCATAATTCCTATTATTCCTAATTACTTCTTCCCATTTTCCTCCTTCAAATATAGAACATCTCTTCAACAAAACTCGCATTTTGATAATGAACCAAAGCTGCTGTAAGTTAGCTTGTTTGCTATTCAATAGATGTTCTGTATCTGATTTCGTTGGTGACATAAATACAATTCAGTAATATTCCATTAACAAACTAGTACAACCAATAATAATGTTAAATCTTACTTGTGAAAAGTAATCCCACGAGCCCTGTTTTGAATAGTCCGCCTATTTTGACAGCCATACGCCGCACAGTGTTCAGGCATCGCGCTGTATGATGACCGGTCCAAGATGGCGGCCGTATTTCTCGTGCCCGAGCAACCAATGCGGCGTCTATTCTATATATTTCTATGATATCAACAACGAACCACAACATAGAAGGATGGGCGAAGCCGTGGCCGCGATTGTGGTTTGTTTGTTTGTGCATATGGCGGTTTATATGAACAGAAGCAGAAGGCGTCTCGAGTATTTGGAGAGAGCTGATAAAGCACGGGAAGAACAGAGGCAAAGGATTCTTCGGAGAATTGCTTTGATGGACCAATCCATAGAGGGTGCATTTCGGCGTCGCGCACAAAGACGAAGGGTAATAAACCTTAATTTAATTTATAAAACCAAGCGCATGTTTTAACTGCAGTCGTGTTTTTACTTTAATTTCAGTCATTAACTTTAATGCAATTGTCTTACAGGTTTTTCTCCAACTCGCGCCACGTGCCGCTCTTATTGTTTTGGCTCACAAAAGTGACGAATGGTGGAAAGATGTGGTGCCGACCTTCTCTGAGGATCAGTGGGTGCAGAACTTCAGGATGTCACGGGAAACCTTTGAGTATTTGTGTGGACGTGTGCAACCAGTGATGGAAAAGCAGGACACACATTTTCGCCTCGGTGTGCCCCTCCAGCAGAGGGTTGCTATTGCAGTACGGAAGCTGGCAACAAATGCAGACCACAGTAGCATCTCTCACTTGTTTGGAGTTAGTCGCTCAACTGCCTGTAAGTGTTTGAAGGCCTTTTGTTCAGCTGTAGAGGATGTACTGTGGCCTAAAGTTATCCAGTTTCCAGATGCTGCCAAACTCAAAGAAATGGAGGGCAGGTGGCGCTGCCTCCTCAAAAGAAATGACTGCAAGACAGGCCTGGTCAGATCTATGATACTCACATGTTGTGTGCTCCACAATCTGTGTGAGAGCCATGGTGAGGACTTCAAAGGGGACTGGGAAAATCCTGTGCACATCGACCAGCCTCATGCTTGATGGGTTAAATACAGGTCTAAGCTTGTGCTGCTCTTATGTGCCACCACAACCCATAGAGTTGTATGTACAGTTTACAGTTTTGTGCTGTTAACTACTGCGACAACAAATTACAATGTTTTACTGTGTGTGTAAACAAAACCGCACATAAAGGTTACAAATTACTGTACAAAGTTTGTTTTTATGTTATACTTTGCTGTAATTCTTGCTTTTAAAAGATTATTTTTTGTATATAAAACACAAACCAACTGCTGGCATGCAAACTTGTTTTATTTTAACACAGCATAAAAATGTGCAAACTTTTAAAACAAAACAAATTAAAGAATGTACAGAGGTGTAAAGTGCAGAATTTTTGTAAATCGAAGTCTTTAGTCCAGGGGAGGAGGTTGAGGCTGGGACCGAGTTTTACAGAGGGCCCCAACAATAGCCAGAAGTCCTTGCTGAAACTCAGCCATTTGTCTCCTCGATGCCTCCTCCTCCCGTCTGTAGAACATGCGGTCCATCTCCTGTGCAGCAGCTGCCCTCTCCTCATGGTCTTTCAGCTCCTGGACAAAGAGGTCGCGTTGCTGTCTGGCCTCCCTCCTCTCTTCCTCCTCCAGCTCCCTTAGTGCATCAAAATCCCTTTTTCCATTTCCTGTAGAAAAAGGAAAACTAAATTAGTTTGGTGTCACTCTTATCAGAACACATAAGTGTAATTAAATGTGTGTCTAGCTTGTTAAGTGAATCTGTTTACAACAATATCCAAAACGCGGAGGAAGGTCTTTGGGAAAGTAAGTATAACAAAAGTATCTGCTCACACTTGTGCTAGATGACCTGTAACTTTATACTCACTGATACGTTTCGATGACCCAGAAGGACGGGGGTTGCTGCAGTGGGGCGGCTCCTTAGACGACGCCTGCATGGTCCCCAGACTTTTTGCTAAAACAGAAGAAAATGACCACACATGAGAAAGGTGAATAGTTTTCAGTAAAAACACAATTAGGAAACGGGCCAGTCTTAACTCATTCACTGCTGGGTAGGGTTGCAAACCCCCTGAAAAAAATAAAAAAAAGACCTCATTTGCGGGGGCCGGCCGACCCGATTGCCCATATCCTCATGGCTAAAAAATTTTTAGCCCCCTTTTTTGTGTGACAAGTTTTTTTTAAACTATTTGACTCAAACCTGAATTGAATTCATATTTCTGAGTGACATGAACACATGGAAAACAAATTATTATCCAGCAATTACTTTAATACAAAATAAGCTGAATATAATAAGTAACTTTTTAAAACAGAAACCTGTCCTGCTTGACTTCAAATTGTATAAATTATATAAAACAATAGACAGGAAGCATAATAATCATGCTGTAATAGTGCAATAACAAAAGTGCATAGATTATTTGTGCCGTTTGGGCCATGACTGTAGGCTACACTTACAGTCGCCCGAGCTCGAGGCCGGGCTGGTCGTATCACAGCCGACCCCTCTCACCCTGCACATGGACTATTCCAACCACTCCCCTCAGGCAGGAGGCTGCGGTCCATCAGGACTAGAACCTCCCGCCACAAGAACAGTTTCTTCCCCTCTGCTGTTGGACTCTTGAACACTTCTTAACCTGTCCCCCCGCCCTTTATAAAGTCACTTTACTGCCCATCATACGTCACTTTACTGCCCATCATACGTCACTTTACTTCACTGTACTGCTGTCACCTTACATTGTGTGCACCATGTGCACTTGTATATTGTAAATAGTAACTGTAACTCTATTTTAAATTTAAATTTATTCTATATTTGTTTTTTATTCTTATTTTTATTATCTCTTTTTGACTGTTGCACTGAGCCAAAGCAATTTCCTAGTCTGTGACCTCCTGTTACTTACGTGGCAATAAAAATTATTCTGATTCTGAGTAAAACAAAAACAAAAAACAAGTAAACTCTTCAGCTCAATGCCACCTTATGTTATAGCCTACTTTTTCCACCTGTTCTTCTGACCTCTTGCTGCAGTGAGGAGTTGTTTGTCTTTGAGTATTGCAGAGTAAAACTCTGAGAATGACAGTTCAAAATTAATTAGTTCAGTTCACTTTTAATTAATTAATCCGTGGAATATTTATTGCGCACATCAGACAAAGAATACAGCAGCTTGGATGTTGGGAAGGTCAGCTGCCTTTGGACTGCCAGGCTTCCTTTTCCGGAGTGAGGCGCTCCAGTGTTTTGTCGAGTTGGTCTGCCCGTCGAGATGATCTGGCTCAGCTGTTAATGATGCAATGCAAACCTGCGTGTCTCACGGCAGCCGAAGCAATCCAAGATGGCGGACATGTAGTCCGCGATTTGCATTAAAAGTTAAATACGAACAAATTAAGACACGAATGTCACTTTTAATGCAATTTGAGGAGAGATGTTGATGGTTCCGCGTCGTGATATGTGGGTTTTAAGAGTAAGAGTTTCGTGTAAAGTTTGTTTTAAGCAGTCCACTGCTCCTGTGAAACTACACTGCTGCTGTGTGATCGCAGTCCCTGACTGCTGCATACGTCAGGCCCATGACACGTCCTGTGACTGGTCTGTCGGGTTGATAATGAAAATAATAAATTCCATTTTATGCATGTATCATACTGTATTCAATATCATTAACGAGAGGTGCACCGATCAATCGGTAGCCGATTATTATCGGCTGATCACGCTTAATTTGCGTGATCGTGAAATGTGCGGATCAAAGACTGATCAGATGACATGAGGATTCATGCGCACAGGTTACGTTCTCTTGTCAAAACTGCGTGAACAAGCAACTCATGCAGCTATCAGTAACGAAGATTCTACAGCGGCAACAACCATACAGTAACGACGTAAGAAAGAACACGAAATATGCACGAAAGTTATAGCATTTATTTCTCTCTGCCACCAGCGCTTGTCTGTTGCGGAAAGCTCATGTTCACTGCTTCAATATGCCATCGCGGAGATATCTGACTGATGTCTGCCTGCCGCAGCTTTACCAAACTGTATATTCTCACATTGACACTCCAGAGCATGGATCTATAATAAAAAACAAGCCAGAGTCACACCGCGCACGCACAGCACACACACCAAACACACTCAGTAGCGAGACGCTGCCGTCAGGCAGAAAAATCCCGTGTCAGGACTTTGTATGTTATGTTCACAGAAATATTGAATTAAGATGAGTGTAGTGGTAGTACAGACAGTCCTACAGTGTCGCAGATTTAGCGTTACTTACTACGTAGTTACGCCTCGGAGCAGACAGCCGCTTGTTTATTGGAAGGAAAATAAAAGGCGCTTCCCTCCTTTGGCCAAAGCAGCGTCTTTCCTCTGCGCTCCATGTACAAGTGTAGACAGTGAGAGTTTAGCGCAGCGGGACTATTCCGGATGATAAATGTAATAAACCCCTGCAAATGCTGAGATGCTAATATTACTGAAGAAAAAACATTGCCTTAACTATCTCTTCTTAATCAGTTTAGAAATGCAAAAAATGCAATGAAATACAGCAATAATGTACATGACATTATTGCTGTATTTCATTGCATTTTTTGTTTATGTATCTCAATGCTCTGTAACGTATACTTGTGGTTCCCAACCTTTTTGTCTTGAGTACCCCTATAGGCCTTTTATTTATACTACCTAGTACCTTGATGGTTTTGAAAGATTAGTTATAAAGTGAATAACTGGTCCTATTCATTTATCACTAACATTTTCAATATTTGATCGGATGGGCCGATCAAAATTTTAATGATCGGTGATCGGCCAAAAAAAATCCTGATCGGTGCACCTCTGTGGACCTCTATGATTAACAATAGTGTGTTCAAACGAAATATTTAATTAGATTTAGTTTTTTCCCCATACTGGCAGGTTTCTGCGCATGCACAAGTCAGATTTGGGCACACTAGCAGTGTAGTTTCACAGGAGCAGTGGACTGCTTAAAACAAACTTTACACAAAACTTACTCTTAAAACACATATCACAACGTGGAACCATCAATATCTCGCCTCAAATGGCATTAAAGGTGACATTTGTGTCTTAATTCGTTCGTATTTAACTTTTAAAGAAATTCGCAGACTACATGTCCCCATCAAACCACCGCAGCGCAGGTTTGCATTTGAACATTAACAGCTGAGGCAGATCATCTCGACGGCCAGACCAACTCGACAGAACACCAGGTCTCTTTACCGCGGTCGGAGAACACTGAGGGCGCGCCGCAAGAAATGCCCTCCACCTCTGCTAAGGAGAGAGACCTCCACCTCTGCTAAGGAGAGAGAGACCTCCACCTCTGCTAAGGAGAGAGAGACCTCCACCTCTGCTAAGGAGAGAGAGACCTCCACCTCTGCTAAGGAGAGAGAGACCTCCACCTCTGCTAAGGAGAGAGAGACCTCCACCTCTGCTAAGGAGAGAGAGACCTCCACCTCTGCTAAGGAGAGAGAGACCTCCACCTCTGCTAAGGAGAGAGAGACCTCCACCTCTGCTAAGGAGAGAGAGACCTCCACCTCTGCTAAGGAGAGAGAGACCTCCACCTCTGCTAAGGAGAGAGAGACCTCCACCTCTGCTAAGGAGAGAGAGACCTCCACCTCTGCTAAGGAGAGAGAGACCTCCACCTCTGCTAAGGAGAGAGAGACCTCCACCTCTGCTAAGGGGAGAGAGACCTCCACCTCTGCTAAGGGGAGAGAGACCTCCACCTCTGCTAAGGGAGAGAGAGACCTCCACCTCTGCTAAGGAGAGAGAGACCTCCACCTCTGCTAAGGAGAGAGAGACCTCCACCTCTGCTAAGGAGAGAGACCTCCACCTCTGCTAAGGAGAGAGACCTCCACCTCTGCTAAGGAGAGAGAGACCTCCACCTGTGCTAAGGAGAGAGAGACCTCCACCTGTGCTAAGGAGAGAGAGACCTCCACCTGTGCTAAGGAGAGAGACCTCCACCTCTGCTAAGGAGAGAGACCTCCACCTGTGCTAAGGAGAGAGACCTCCACCTCTGCTAAGGAGAGAGAGAGACCTCCACCTCTGCTAAGGAGAGAGAGACCTCCACCTCTGCTAAGGAGAGAGAGACCTCCACCTCTGCTAAGGAGAGAGAGACCTCCACCTCTGCTAAGGAGAGAGAGACCTCCACCTCTGCTAAGGAGAGAGAGACCTCCACCTCTGCTAAGGAGAGAGAGACCTCCACCTCTGCTAAGGAGAGAGAGACCTCCACCTCTGCTAAGGAGAGAGAGACCTCCACCTCTGCTAAGGAGAGAGAGACCTCCACCTCTGCTAAGGAGAGAGAGACCTCCACCTCTGCTAAGGAGAGAGAGACCTCCACCTCTGCTAAGGAGAGAGAGACCTCCACCTCTGCTAAGGAGAGAGAGACCTCCACCTCTGCTAAGGAGAGAGAGACCTCCACCTCTGCTAAGGAGAGAGAGACCTCCACCTCTGCTAAGGAGAGAGAGACCTCCACCTCTGCTAAGGAGAGAGACCTCCACCTCTGCTAAGGAGAGAGACCTCCACCTCTGCTAAGGAGAGAGACCTCCACCTGTGCTAAGGAGAGAGAGACCTCCACCTCTGCTAAGGAGAGAGACCTCCACCTCTGCTAAGGAGAGAGCCCACCAAGCCCATCACTTAATAAAAATACGCAAGCCTCCTTTTTTGGGCTGTCGAGTGCAGCTCAGTAGTGGCGCGAGCCTCTATAAAGCGTTACTCCGAATCAGGGAAATACATGCTCATTTCATGTGACGGGAGGGGCCGTTGAGGTAGGGGGTCGCGGGGGAGCAGCGCATTTATCATGGGGGTTGTGGGCTAAAAACTTTGAGAACCCCTGCTTTACAGTCAGGCATGGGCTACATGTGCAGCAGTCATCTGTATATGAGAAAAAAATAAATTATACTGTATGTAGTTTGTTTAGTACAACAACGGCTTGTATATAACAAATTATGTATGTTATATCCATCTTCATTGGTTTGAACTTATTCATTAATGTATTACTTATGTATTATTCAATGTACTTGGAAAAAATAATTTGCTAGCTTTGTTCATACAATGCTCATAACCACTGCACTTTCTACTTTCAGATATGAATATAATTAAAACAAAATCGTTCTATATATACCATATAACTCTGGCATTGCCTGGTGGACAACAAATTGGTCTAGGGTTCCCCCTCATATTTCGCATGTGCCCACCACTGGAAGCATGTTGTCCTAGGACAGTCTGTCCACCATGGGCTATTGAAAAAGTGCGCCGGCACACCGTCCAGAAAATCAGTGTTGGCATTTGTGTCACCCATGCTGCCATGTTTTCTTCCATCTTCTCCGCAAGCAACAATAGGCTCGACCAATAGGATGAGCATATTCTATTCCCGTGTGAATATGCTGTCACCTCATTGGTCACAGAGCAGGGCCGGCTGGGAACAAGTTTACCACAACTTTTCATCTAACGCGCCCTGTCATTCATTTTCCTTTGGCTCTTTACCGACTATTTTTAGACTCACAGTAAAACGGGACAAAGTGCGTCCCTGTACAGCTCAATACGGGACGGGTGCTTTTGTTTCTGAATACGGGCGTATGTGAAATAGAACCCATCACAATATCATGTATTATGTCTGCCCTGTGCCTTACCGGTGACTACACGCTGCGGGTTGCTCGAGAGGTCAGACTCCGCTGTAGTGGAGGCCGCTGCCGGTGGTGCTGCTGGTGGTGCTGCCGGTGGTGCTGCGGGGACAGGGGATGGGGGCCGTGGGGACGAGGGCCGTGGGGATGAGGGCCGTGGGGACTCGTCGATCCTTTCCGTTGTGGGAAGGGATTCTAAAAAACAAATACACAACGACTTAAGTACAAGCACAAAACAAAATGGGAATACGTGAAAGAGCAAGACACAGACACTACCACAAGAAGTTTTCGCTTAACTTGAAAGTTAAAAGTTGCTAGCTCACTGTGTACAACAATCAAACAATTACATGATAAAATACTTTACAGTGAGAGCTTCAGTTATTTTTACGACTACTACAGACAAAAGTAACAAAACACTTACGATTGTCGATGGACAGAAGCAACGATGTGGCCGAGTCCACACCACACTCCAGTCCATTGTTAGACAGTTTGTGGCCATAAATGGCGTCAATTTCAGCAAACCACCTCCAACTCTTTCTGTTGAACCCACTTTGGCCAATTTGAGATTTTATGCCCCGGTAGTCACTCTTAAGCTTCTTCAGCTTGTCCCTGCACTGCTGCAGCGTGCGGTCATATCCGTGTGCTGTCATGAGCTCGGAGATCTCTTTAAAAACCTTGTGGTTCCGAGTGGTGCCGTCAAGCTCCTTCTGGATCCTGTCCTCGGCCACGAGAGATAGTAGACATTGGACCTCGGCAACGGACCAAGACGAACATCTGGGGGTCTTTGAGAATTCCATTGCTCCTTGCTACAGCACAGGCGGGTTCTAAAATGGCGGGGTTGGGATGTGGTTATCACAGGGTTGGACGTCGCACTTATGACGCTCCAGTGACGACACTCGTTGACCAATCAGTGTAAGGCAGTCGGCCGACCCGACGTCATGTCATGGTACTGCGCGGATGGAACCACTGATGGGGCGTTACGAACAAACGCAAACTATACTATTACAAGTGGAAAAGCAAAATTACCGCGCCGAAGCGTACCGTATTGATACTGTGGAAAAGCAGCATTTGACTACCGTAATGGCCTGCTCACAGGTCTGTCCAAACAGGCTGTAAAACAGCTGCAGCACATTCAAAATGCAGCAGCTCGAGTCCTGACTAGAACCTGGAAGTATGACCATATTAGTCCAGTCCTCAGGTCTCTGCACTGGCTTCCTGTGGCTCAGAGAATAGACTTTAAAACAGCTCTGCTTGTGTACAAGTCTCTCCATGGCCTCAAACCAAAGTGCATCCGTGACAAGTTAGTCCCATATGAACACCGCGGTAAAGTGGCCCGCATCTTTCAGCTCTATGAACAAGCAGCCCGCATCGGGGAAAATACGGTGCGCGTTTCTTTGAGAACTTACGGTAACAGCGGAACATCTGTGGGACTCATGATAATTAACACGTATAACAATAACGCTGTAATAACACCCACCTCCTATTTTTTGTTTAATTTTCATGTGTAATAACAGGGACATTAGCATATTTTTGGACAGGAGAAACTCAGGGGACCCACGCAGGCAGGTTGAGACAGCTTGGGGGGGGCTTGGGAGGTCCTAATTGAAAAGTGTGCTCAGACGAGGAATGCGTGGTGATGTCGTCTCTCTTGTGTTTCAGGTAACAAGAACTGTTTAAATATATTTTTATTTCATTTGTAACAGAATACAAAAGCTAAAAAACGTTCTATGTGGTATAACTAATTGAAAAGTGTGCTCAGACGAGGAATGCGTGGTGATGTCGTCTCTCTTGTGTTTCAGTGCAAACCACAATTAAAAATAAGGATAATCCTAAACACTCTGAACTTTTATTTATCCGACCACAAGTGCTACATATTTTGGGGGCTCGTCCGGGATGGATAAAGCGTTTGTGAGTGTTTTCCCGACCGACGAAGCGGCGCACTGAAACTTCCACGCTCCTGCAGTCTGTCACGCGCATTGGCGAAGGAGGCGCGGCCCCGCGACACGGCAACATGAGTCTCGAGGAGATCGCAGAGCAAGTGTCACAGCAGCTCTGGATGCTGAAACTGGAAGAGCTCAAAGACGTGTGCGTGCGTGCTAAAGTTGATTACAAAAATGCAGCGACCAGACGAGCAGTAGTGAAAGTAATAATGGAGTCAATAGACGACGCTATTGAAAATGAAGAAGAAGACGTGGCTACACAGTATTTGACTACGTTGCTTAACTTAACCAAAGCAAGCCCAGTTCAGACAAATGCGTCAGAAATAGCAGAAAATCTGGAAAGAACGTCCATAACAACTCAACCACCTATCAATGACACCCAGAGACCAAGTGACATAGTAAGTCAAGTTTCACCACAATATGTGCCTGCTGCTCCTATAAACCCCAGCTTGCCCACCCATAGGCTCCAAGAAGTCACTATAAGGAGAGAATTCAAGATAAGTGGCCAGATTGGTGAAAGGGGACAAAAGGATAAACTCTCATTCACAAATCTCATGCACCAGATGGAAAGAGGGTTAGTTAAAGGGCACAGTGAAGATGAAGTGGTTGAGGCTGTGGTCAAAGCTATCAGTCCAGGTCTGAGTTTAAGGGACATGCTTGAAGTTAAAAGTGACCTTGCATTATCTCAGTTAAAGACTATATTAAAGGGTCACTTTAAAGAAGACAGTTCTATGGACTTATATCACAAGCTGGTGAATGTTACTCAAGATAGCCGCGAATCTCCCCAGAACTTCCTGTTTAGGGCCATAGAACTCAAGGAAAGGCTTTTCCTTGCCTCTAAAGAATCAGGCTCAGACCAATACCAGCCAGAGATGATTCAAAGAAAGTTTTTGAGATCAGTGAGCACAGGACTGATTAGTGATCACATCAAGTTTCAGCTAAAGCCATATTTAGATGATAATACTGTTACTGATGAGATTCTCATTGAAAAATTGAACGAAGCTGCAAGTGTAGAGTGTGAGCGACAGTCTAAACAGCGCAAACACACAATAAACAGAGCTCCAAAAGTAAATGAGCTACAAGCTGAGGCACCAGCAGAAATGCCTCAAAGTAAAGCTGTTTCTGAAATGAGAGTGCAGAACCAAACTGAATCCGTCAGACCAAAGACCCGTAAAGCTCCAGCACAACCCAGCTCTCGAGACACTGAGTTGTATGAGGTAGTACACCTACTAAGAGAGGAGGTGGCTGACATCAAGAAAAACCTGCAAGGCCAACGGCAGCACGCTCCAAGTTTAAACCGCACCCAACGCAAAGCCTGTGCAGCATGTGAAGAAAGTGGACTGAGTAATCAATGTAACCATTGTTTCAAGTGTGGTTTAGGAGGACACTTCTCAAGAGGTTGCAGAGGAAGTCGGGGTGCCACTCACAACCCAGGCACGGTCAACGTCAAACCCCACAAGGTGGCGCCAGCAGCATACACGTCAAAGAAACCACCTGAAAGTGAGAGTAAAGTCCAAGAGCTTCTGTTGGAAAGAATCAAACTGCTTGAAGCTCAACTTGAAAACACTAACAGACACCAAGGGGTGAGTGCCACTTATGCTAATGCCAGTTCTTCACATCGTCATGCCAAGCTGCACGCTCTCATAGGGAAGAAATGTTTAGTGGACTGCTATTTTGAGGATGTACCAACTAAAGCTTTATGGGACACTGGTTCACAGGTGACTATTATTAATGAGAGCTGGCGTAGTACTTACCTCCCGCACATGGAGACCCGTAGCCTACAAGAGCTGCTGGAGGAAGATGAGACCCTTGTTGGTAAAGCAGCAAACCAAACGGTCATTCCTTTCTCAGGGTGGGTTGAGTTGAAGTTCAGACTCAATACCACAAATCAATGTGTCCAAGAACTTACAGTGCCAGTGTTGATTTCAAATGAGCTAGGAGTTGCGGAGCCACCAATAATCGGTTACAATATAATCGAGCAGTTAGTCAAAAATGGAATGGAACAATATCCAGAGTTCACATCAGCTGCAGTACAGGAAGCTTTTTCACTTGATTGTAAAAAGACTGAAATATTTATTCAGCTGGTAAAGAAAAGTGATATTGACTTGAGGGAGGGAATAGTGAGAGTAGGGCAACCAAGAGTAACTATTCCCGCAGGACAAACTGAGCTGGTGAAGTGTAGTGTTCGTAGATATCCCTGGGCAGGAGACCAAAATGTTTTGTTTGAACCCGTAGATAGCTCCAAGTGGCCAGATGGACTAACTTTCACGGAGGCAGTAATAAACCTGCAGAAGAGCGGCTGGTCTAAAGTATCTGTCCCAGTTAGCAACGAGAGCAGTCGTAGTATCACTCTCACTGCACGCACTGTGTTAGGCCAGCTCCAATCAGTGAAAGCTATCTATCCAGCCAATGCACAGCCCCTACAGACACAGCAGAGCGGCGACACCGCCACCGCCACCAGGACTCAACAAGCTGTTGCAAACCCTAAACAAGACAAAAACAAACTATGGGATCCAGCAGTGGCTCTCGACCATCTGTCACCAGCGCAACAGGAGAAGGTACGTGCTGTATTAAGAGAGGAGTGTGAAGCCTTTTCGAAAGGGGAACAAGATGTTGGTTCGATTCCGTCACTAAGGCTGAAAATAAGGCTTAAAGACACCACCCCTGTTACACGCACATACACTTCAGTGCCCAAACCACTTCACAAAGAAGTGAAGGAATATTTAGAAGATCTCCTTAATAGGGGATGGATACAAAAGTCTCGTTCTCCATATTCCTCACCACTAGTATGTGTCCGCAAAAAGGATGGGACACTGCGGCTGTGTGTTGATTATAGACAGTTAAATCTAAAATCCATACCAGATAGACATCCCATTCCCCGTGTGCAAGACATTCTTAACAGTCTGTGTGGCAGTGCCTGGTTTTCTGTGCTCGATCAGGGGAAGGCCTACCACCAAGGGTTCCTGGAGGAGGAAAGCAGACCACTCACCGCCTTCATAACGCCGTGGGGTCTGTATGAGTGGATCAGGATTCCCTTCGGCCTCTCCTCAGCGCCTGCAGAGTTCCAGCGCAGCATGGAGGAGTGTCTAGCAGGTTTGAGAGATGAAACCTGCCAACCATACTTGGACGATAACCTGTTGCATAGTAAGTCCTTTGATGAACATTTGCATGACATGAGAGCAGTGCTGCGCAGATACAAGCAACATGGTGTGAAACTTACACCGAAAAAGTGTGAAGTTTTCAAAAACAAAGTCAAATTCTTGGGGAAAATTGTGTCCCAAGACGGATACACAATGGATTCAAGTGAACTGGCGCCCGTGCAAGCTCTCAAAGACAAGAAGCCCACAAATATTGGTGAACTGAGGAGAATTCTAGGGTTCATTTCCTATTATCGGCCCTACATTCAAAACTTCTCCCGTATTGCCAGGCCATTGTATAGTCTGTTGTCAGCTGAGGGCACTCCCAGGGTTCCCTCCCACAAAGGGATAGGGAAGAGAGCGGGAGGAAAACAAAACAAGACCAACCAGTTGCCCTCAGGTCATCCTATCAACTGGACTGAGCAGCATCAGAGTGTACTTTGTGAACTCATAGACCACCTGCTGCAACCACCAATACTAGGATACCCTGATTTTGAGAAACCGTTTGTGCTGCACTGTGATGCATCTCAAGAGGGTCTAGGGGCAGTACTCTATCAGAGACAGCACAGTAAACTAGCTGTCATTGGATACGGCTCACGGACATTGACCCCACCTGAGAAAAATTATCATTTGCATTCAGGCAAATTGGAATTTTTAGCATTAAAATGGGCCATTTGTGAACGGTTCAGAGAGTACCTCTATTATGCCCCATCGTTTGTCGTTTACACTGACAATAATCCTCTAACCTATGTACTGTCGTCTGCTAAACTCAATGCCACAATGCATAGGTGGGTGGCCGAACTTGCAGATTTTGAGTTTACCATAAAGTATCGGCCAGGTAGGGTTAATGGGGATGCGGATGGGCTGTCACGAATGCCACTGGACATGGACCAGTTTATGTCAACATGTTCCAAAGAGGTAGAGCCAGATGTTATTGCCACTATCACCCAAGCAATACATGCAGAGTTTCAAAAGCATGCTCCATGGATGTGTCCTGTCACCATCTCCACTGCTTGTGCACTAAATGAACGTGTGACTTCCTCAGTAGACATTATCACTGAGCAGGACCTCATAAAAGCACAAGAAGAAGATCCAATTTTTGGTAAAGTGAAAAACTACATCAAGTCAAAACAGTGGCCTCTAAGCAAGGGAAATGGTCAGCATAAGGAGTTGATGGTGATGCAGAAAGAAAAGAAAAAACTGTACATTGATGATAACGGACTTGTTTACAGAAAAACTGCTGCCGGCTCACAACTTCTCCTACCCAAAGTTTTCCATCCTCTTGTGTATAAAGAGCTACATGAAGAAATGGGTCATCTTGGGGTAGAGCGAACATTGACTCTCATTCGTGAGCGATTTTATTGGCCACACATGCAGAGGGACGTGGACCACTATGTGACTAAGGTATGTAGTTGCCTCAAACGCAAACGACCCAACAGACCCACTAGAGCACCTTTGATGAACATAGTGACCACTCTTCCCTTTGAACTAGTTTCAATAGACTTCCTACACTTAGAGCAGAGTAAAGGGGGCTATGAATATATACTAGTTGTCATGGACCATTTTACAAGGTTTGCCCAGGCCTATGCTTGCAAGAACAAGTCAGCCACAACAGCAGCCGAGAAGATTTTTGGAGATTATATTCTTAAGTTTGGGTTCCCTAGCAAATTGCACCACGATCAAGGCCGGGAGTTTGAAAACAAGCTGTTTTACAAACTCAAGGAATATTGTGGAATACAGGGGTCACATACAACGCCATATCACCCGGCTGGGAATGGCCAGGTAGAACGATTTAATCGAACATTGCTCTCCATGCTAAGAAATCTCCCTGACAAAGCTAAGATTGACTGGAAAAAATCATTGGACAAAGTCGTGCACGCATACAATTGTACGCGCCACGAAGCAACTGGGTTTTCCCCACATTATCTCCTTTTTGGTAGGAGCCCAAAGTTGCCGATTGACATTATGTTTGGTCTGACCCCTGGTGGTGACGAAGAAGAAAGCACGTCCCATAGTGAATATGCTGACAAGTGGCGTAAGCGGATATTAGAAGCTTACAGAATAGCATCCAAAAGTGACAGTAAAGGGCAGGCCAGAGCAAAGAACTATTACGACAGGAAAGCTTATGGTGCAGAGCTACAACTTGGTAGCAGGGTTCTGGTCCGCAACCTTTCTCAACGAGGCGGCCCAGGAAAACTCAGGTCTTACTGGGAGGAAAAGGTTCACGTCGTAGTTGAAAAGAAGTCTGATACGCCTGTTTATGTGATTAAACCGGAAAGAGGCCCAGGCAAGACACGTGTCATTCACAGAAACCTACTGCTGCCTTGCGACTATCTGCCCATAGAGGACATGTTACAAAAACCAAAACCTGTACAGAGAAAGATAAGTGTGAGAAGAGCTGAGGACAAAACCTCAGACACAGAGGACTCTGACAGTGAAGCTGAGTGGCAAGTCATCATCTCAGAGCCAATAGAAAGTTCCGCTCCAGCAAAACATCGACGGAGAACAAATGCAGAGGAGTTCCATCCACAACAAACCCCTAGACATCGAGACACAAGCATCAAGGAGGAACATCACTCTGGAAGGGCACCCGAAGGTCAGCTGAGCAGCGATGACGTCAGAGGAGTCGAGCAGGCGGCGATGGAGCAGGATGAGCCGGGGGACGGTTGTGTGGTGGACGAGTGCCCAGCAGCCGCATCTGATGAAGCAGATGATCCAGCCACCCTGAGACAGTATCCTTCTCGATTCAGAAAACCACCTAAGACCTTTACCTATAACACATTAGGTCAGCCTTCTCTTACGTAAATGTAGGCTTCAAAGCATGTTTTTGGTTAGTTGTTTTGTTAACTTGTTCTAGTTAGTATTCATTAGTTTCGCTGTATGCACAGAGACCACACACATATGCACACATTTGAACCTTTTAGGACAAAACACAGTTGCAAAATACATATGAGCATATTTTAGGTAATAGCTTATCAGCTTGTACAATGAGTCATAGCCAGGAGTATAAGAATCATCTTTCAGTGGAGGTACTGGCCTGTAAAGCAGAGCATTTATTAGATATCACTTGGCCTGTGGTGTCTGGCTGTATACATGGTTGAAGAGGGAGATATGCCATGTAAAGAACTGTCAATGGACATGTGGTACCTTTTCAACGTGAACTGACTCCCACTTCGATGGCTTCAACTCTGGAGTTCAATACTTGTAACTAGACTGTGTAATGTCGGGACGCCATTTATTTTGCAGGGGAGTGTGTGGGACTCATGATAATTAACACGTATAACAATAACGCTGTAATAACACCCACCTCCTATTTTTTGTTTAATTTTCATGTGTAATAACAGGGACATTAGCATATTTTTGGACAGGAGAAACTCAGGGGACCCACGCAGGCAGGTTGAGACAGCTTGGGGGGGGCTTGGGAGGTCCTAATTGAAAAGTGTGCTCAGACGAGGAATGCGTGGTGATGTCGTCTCTCTTGTGTTTCAGGTAACAAGAACTGTTTAAATATATTTTTATTTCATTTGTAACAGAATACAAAAGCTAAAAAACGTTCTATGTGGTATAACTAATTGAAAAGTGTGCTCAGACGAGGAATGCGTGGTGATGTCGTCTCTCTTGTGTTTCAGTGCAAACCACAATTAAAAATAAGGATAATCCTAAACACTCTGAACTTTTATTTATCCGACCACAAGTGCTACACATCCTTTCGGAGTCACCCATTTTTATCGAACAGAAAGCGCGCTGGGGTCTGGGAGACACATTTTTGTGATTAAAACCTTATAGAGATGCCACCCGGTACACATAGCACCAGCCCCCTACGATTCCTCCTGCAGATTGTGAGTCCTCAGGAGGATAGCCACTCTATTGTTTACATATATAAAGTACACAATTGAACTCTGAACTCTGTCTACAGTCACTTGGACACTAGTAAATCTGTCGCGAGAATGCTTTTCATCGATTATAGCTCTGCTTTTAACTGCCTTGTCCCAGGTAAACTGATTGAAAAGCTCATGTCTCTCGGTTTAAGTGTTGCCATTTTTAGCTTTTTAACTGACAGATCTCAGAGAGTGAAAATCAATGACTGTTTTTCTGATGTTGTTTCTGTGAGCACTGGTTCTCCTCAGGGATGTATTTTGAGTCCTTTGCTTTTTACTTTGTACACTCACGATTGTGTGTCCTCCTCTGACTCAAACTTGATCATTAAATATGCTGATGACTCCACCATCATCGGTCTCATCAGTGACAATGATGAATCCTCTTATAGAGCAGAGATACAAAATGTGGTTCAGTGGAGTAAAACTAACAACCTCCAGTTGAACGCATCGAAAACATGTGAACTGGTCTACGACTTCAGTCGCAATAGTTCTCATTTGCCTGTCGTAATCGACAACTCCCAGGTGCAGATCGTAGAGGAGTGCAAGTTTCTGGGTTTAACGCTGTCTAACGACCTGAAATGGGTTAAAAACACTGACCGAGTCGTTAAGAAAGCTCGTCAGCGTCTCTACTTTCTGCGTAAACTTAGAGAATTTACCACTAACTCTAAGATTCTGCTTAACTTTTATCGCTGCACCATTGAGAGTTTACTTGTTGGTTCTGTGTCTGTGTGGTTTGGAAACATCACAGATAAAGAAAAGAGAGCTTTAAACAAGGTGCTCCGCTCTGCAAAGAGGACCGTGGGCTGTGAGCTTCCTGTTCTGGAGGTTCTTTATAAATCCAGACTTTTAAACAAAGCTCTTAGGATTGTTAATGACTCTTCTGGCCACCCTGGAAAAGCCATGTTCCAGCTTCTTCCCTCTGGCAGAAGATATCGCTCTCTGAGATGCAGGACATCTCGTTACGCTAACAGTTTTTATCCACAAGCTGTTATCAGTGTGAACAGAGCACTTTAATGATTTGCACTTGTTTTGAACTGTTTTAGTCGATCGATTTCACAGTGACTTTTGTTTACTGTTTTATTTGTTTTATTTTTGTCTTTTAATGTTGTTTTATGTCTGTATTTGTCTGTGCACACTGGAGACTTTTGCTAATGTATTCCAATGTGGTTTTTTTACTGCAAATGGCAAATAAACTGAATCTGAATCTGAATTTGGTCCGCTAGTGCAATTTTCAAGTATTGTAACTATTTACTGGAATAAGGTGTGCGACTAATTTCACTTGACTCATGACCTTATTATTGCCCTCTACCACTGTACCAAAGACCAGAAACTTTTACTGTAGAAATTTGGAGAAATATGGAGTTAAAGTAGCCATTTTGGTCCAAAATAGCCTAAAAATGGTCAAAACATATCACTTTTGATCTACTGTAACTTTTTACTGTAAAAAGGTGTGCGACTAATTTAACTGGATTCATGACGTCATGATTGCCCTCTACCAGTGTATCAAAGACCAGAAACTTTTACTGTAGAAATATTGAGAAATATTGATTTAAAGTAGCCATTTTGGTCTAAAATAGCCTAAAAATGGTCAAAACATGTCACTTTTGATCTACTGTAACTTTTTACTGTAAAAAGGTGTGTGACTAATTTCACTGGATTCATGACCTCATGATTGCCCTCTACCACTGTACCAAAGACAAGAAACATTTACTGTAGAAATATTGAGAAATATTGATTTAAAATGGCCATTTTGGTCCAAAATACCTCCAAAATAGTCAAAACATGTCACATTTGATCTACTGTAACTTTTTACTGTAAAAAGGTGTGCGACTAATTTCACTGGATTCATGACCTCATGATTGCCCTCTACCACTGTACCAAAGACAAGAAACATTTACTGTAGAAATATTGAGAAATATTGATTTAAAATGGCCATTTTGGTCCAAAATACCTCCAAAATAGTCAATACATGTCACATTTGATCTACTGTAACTTTTTACTGTAAAAAGGTGTGCGACTAATTTCACTGGATTCATGACCTCATGATTACCCTCTACCACTGTACCAAAGACCAGAAACTTTTACTGTAGAAATATTGAGAAATATTGATTTAAAGTAGCCATTTTGGTCCGAAATACCTCAAAAATAGTCAAAACATGTCACTTTTGATCTACTGTAACTTTTTACTGTAAAAAGGTGTGCGACTAATTTCACTGGATTCATGACCTCATGATTGCCCTCTACCACTGTACCAAAGACCAGAAACTTTTACTATAGAAATATTGAGAAATAGTGATTTAAAGTAGCCATTTTGGTCCAAAATTGCCTAAAAATTGTCAAAACATGTCACTTTTGGTCTACTGTAACATTTATTGTGGAAATTTTGAGAAATAATTAGTCAAAGTACCCCCCTTGGTAAAAAATACACAAAAGGGGCTACGGCCCCTTTTGTCGACAAGCGGATGTTCGACAAGTCGACAAGCGGAGGCTCTGCTCCGAGCTCCTTCCGTGTGACTGAGCTCCTCAACCTATCTCTAAAGGTGCTTTCAGACCAATAGCTTCAAAACGCTTTTGACGCGCAATATTTGACACTGGGTCCGGTGTGAACGCCCCTTGGTGCTTGAAGCTCCTGACGCCGGGTGGGAGGAGCTTCTCTCGCTCCCGCCTGGAGCTCGCACTGATTCCTGCGGAGGAGCGCCTGTCTTTCAGTCTGCTGTGTCTGAGCCAGCTTTAGCTTGTTCTTATACTAAATAAATTACTTTAACTTCACAGCATATGTACATTGATTGTGTTACTTACTTTTTAAGAACGTATTCATACAAATAATATTACAAATAACAATAATGACAATGAAAAAGCAGCAGCAGCTACATGACAGCCCTGCTGCTGCTGCTGCTCCTCGTCTCCAGATTGGTTGAAGCCCGGCGTCAAGCTCCAAAAGCTTTTCTCAACTTCGGCGTTAAGGGACTTTTTTACGACAAAAGAGACGCAAGCATTACGCGTGTCAAAAGCTTCAAGTGACGCGCATAATGCTCGCGTCTTTTGAAGCGCTTCAAGTGAAGCCGGGCCTCTCAGCGTCACCTGACGCGCTTCACTATTCATTTTCAGTGCAAAACTGACGCTTTTCAAGTCTAAGTTGAGTCCGGGGTGAAAACACCTTAAGGGAGTGCCTAACCAGTCTTTCCCACCGCTTGTATCTACAATCTCGTTCTTTCGGTCATTATCCAAAGCTCCTGACCAGAGGTGATGGAGGGAACAAGAATTGACCGGTAAATATGGCCGCATCACTGCGCACGCTGCACCAATCCACCTGTCAATCTCACGCTCCATCCTTCCGTCACTCGTGAACAAGACCCCGAGATACTTGAACTCCTCCACGTGAGGAAGGACCTCTCCACTTTGGCGGCACGGTGGCTGAGTGGATAGCACTCTCGCTTCTCAGCAAGAAGGTCCTGGGTTCGAATCCCAGTCGGAACAGTGCCTTACTGAGTGGAGTTTGCATGTTCCCCGTGTCTGCATAGGTTTCCTCTGGGTGCTCCGGTTTCCCCTGGCACTAAAAACATGCTCAATAGGTATTAATGGATAATGAAGATTGGGGGCTGATCAGTGGGGGCGGGTCCCGGCTCGAAAGTGACCAAAATGATGCGCTGACATATTTGCAATACCACCCCGGGCCGATGGGGGTGGACCCGGATTAAGAATTAGCCAATGCTAACGTATAGCATTGGCCGACCTCTCGAAAAGGATGGTCCAAAAGTTGGCTCTTGGCCCAAAGCTCCGTTCCACATGTGTGTCAATGATGAGGGGGTTGAATTTTTTTGGACCACTCTACTTTACTCGCTGTGAATTTTTTACATTTCTCGTTCAAATGAATGGAGCTTGCGCCGGCTGACGCATGCGCAGATGCTTTTTTTTCCGCTATATAAATTTTTTTTTATATATATAAATGCGCTATATAAATAATCATTTCTCATTAATCATTACTCATTACTCGAGAGGGCAAGGCACCTTTTTCCGGTCAGGCATCATGGCCTCGGATTTGGAGGTGCTGATTCTCATCCCAGCCGCTTCACACTCGGCTGCAACCGTCACAGTGCATGTTGCAGGTCCTGGTTCGTTGGAGCCAACAGGACAACATCGTCCGCAAACAGCAGAGATGAAATCCTGTGGTCTCCGAACCGGACCCCCTCCGTCCCCTGGCTGCACCTACAAATTCTGTCCATTATGACAGTAAACAGAAGCGGTGAAAAAGGGCAGCCTGCACCTGCCGGCAATGCAAATACAGCTCTGGTAGAGGACAATAATGAAGTCAGGAATCCAGTGAAATTAGTCGCACACCTTTTTACAGTAAGAAGTTACAGTAGATCAAAAGTGACATGTTTTGACCATTTTTAGGCTATTTTGGACCAAAATGGCTACTTTAAATCAATATTTCTCAATATTTCTACAGTAAAAGTTTCTGGTTTTTGGTACAGTGGTAGAGGGCAATCATGAGGTCATGAATCCAGTGAAATTAGTCGCACACCTTTTTACAGTAAAAAGTTACAGTAGATCAAAAGTGACATGTTTTGACTATTTTTGAGGTATTTCGGACCAAAATGGCTACTTTAAATCAATATTTCTCAATATTTCTACAGTAAAAGTTTCTGGTCTTTGGTACAGTGGTAGAGGGCAATCATGAGGTCATGAATCCAGTGAAATTAGTCGCACACCTTTTTCCAGCAAAAAGTTACAGTAGATCAAAAGTGACATGTTTTGACCATTTTTAGGCTATTTTGGACCAAAATGGCTAGTTTAAATCAATATTTCTCAATATTTCTACAGTAAAAGTTTCTGGTCTTTGGTACAGTGGTAGAGGGCAATCATGAGGTCATGAATCCAGTGAAATTAGTCGCACACCTTTTTACAGTAAAAAGTTACAGTAGATCAAAAGTGACATGTTTTGACTATTTTTGAGGTATTTCGGACCAAAATGGCTACTTTAAATCAATATTTCTCAATATTTCTACAGTAAAAGTTTCTGGTCTTTGGTACAGTGGTAGAGGGCAATCATGAGGTCATGAATCCAGTGAAATTAGTCTCACACCTTTTTACAGTAAAAAAGTTACAGTAGATCAAAAATGACATGTTTTGACCATTTTTTTGGCTACTTTGAACCAAAATGGCTACTTTAACTCCATATTTCTCCAAATGTCCACAGTAAAAGTTTCTGGTCTTTGGCACAGTGGTAGAACATAATAATTAGGACATAAATCCATTGGAAAGAGTCACACACCTTTTTACAGTAAATAGTTACAGTAGATCAAAAGCGGGAATGTTTTTACAGTTTTGTGTATTTTGCACTAAAGTGTACTTTGTCTCAATTTTAGCCAACATTTCCACAGTAAAGGTGTGTGGTCGTAGGCATAGCGTTGAAGGCAGCTATATCGAAGTCATGAACCCAGTGGAATAAGCCACACAAGTCTTTACTGTAAAAATGGACAGCTGCTGAAAATTTGACCAAATTAAATGCTTTCCAAATATGGGTTTATTCACAAAAACGAGTCTCCTCAGCGCGCTTTCTGTTCGAGGAGAAAAGGTGACTCCGAAAGGCTGTTCCGCTATTACCGTAAGTAGTCAACAAAACGCGCACTGTTTTTCTCTCGATGCGGGCCGTTTTACTTCGGAGGTGAAAGATGCGGCCCACTTTACCGCGGTATATGAACCAGCCCGGACTCTAGGAGCACACGGGACAGACCTACACTTGGTGCCCAGAATCGGAACTAGAACTCGTCGGAACTCAAATCTAGGCTGAAAACAGTTCAGCTGGATTTCAACATGGATTTCAAATATAATATGTCATGTCATGTCATTGTCTTCCCCTTTTTTAATCAATCAGTCCCTCGCTGATCCTCCTGCAGGTGGTGGGTCCATGGAAAGATGGCTGCTCCGTCATCGACGAGATGGCCTTGGTCTTTCAGAGGGGGCTTCAGGCAATGTGGGGCTAAGAGTCTTACCCAAGGACACAACGACAGCAGTGGGAGCAGGTGACATGGATCGTGGTGGGCTTAAACCCACGACCATTAGCTCCAAAGACCAGTGCTCTACCAACTGAGCTACTGTATAATATAGCTCAAATATATCGGACTTCCACCATTAACCCAATTGTATGAAAACTAATATATATCTATAGATCATAAAAAATTCAATTTTATTGTTATGCATCAGAAAGATCGCTGTAAAAAATCCACATTTAACTATTTACAAGTTCAAATGAAAACAAAAAATGATTGTAACTAAAAAGCAACAGGTTACAAAGTCACAGTGTTAAAGAGATTCAGTATAAATTGGTCTTTTTCATTATTTTCAAGAACTCTTCCTCGCTGACTTCCCCGTCTCCATCTCGATCCGCTTCATCGATCATCTCCTACGACAGAGCAGTAATGTTTTAACCTTCGAGCAGCACATCAACCTCTTGACTCATTACATTCAACGTGACCGTGTAGTTTTGGCCTTTGATGACTCATTCACTCTGATCATAAGTGGTAACAACACCTGCACATAGAACTAAACTCCAAAGTACTAAATATAAGAGTTTTGTGAGTTTTGTGAGTGTTTGGTGTGAAGTAGAAAAGGATGTGTCTCACAGTTCCCATTTACACAAAGGTCCAGGCAGAATATATTTAGTGAGTTTAACCTGGTGCCGATTCATCCCAGAATGTTTGACTGGAAATAAGAGCAATCGGTCTTTATTTGGAGCGTTCAGATTTACAGAGTGTGTTGGTTAAATGGTAAAAGTAAAAAGCAGACTATAGATCAGAGACCAATTACTTTCTACAAGGGGTCAGTTTGGGATATTGTCCTGTTGTGAGGGGCCGGACCTGTCATTAGTATTTAATTTGTTTTTGCAAAAAGCTACTTCAGTATTTAAATGTAGAAAACAAAAAAATATTCTTGTCTTTGTGTAATGTTTGTTGTGTTTGGGTTGTACTTTTGTGTTTTTCCTATGTTTATGTTGGTACTTTTAGTCCAGTTCTCAGGTCTCTGCACTGGCTTCCTGTGGCTCAGAGAATAGACTTTAGAACAGCTCTGCTTGTGTACAAGTCTCTCCATGGCCTCGCACCAAAATATATTAGTGACATGTTAGTCCCATATGAACCAGCCCGGACTCTGAGGAGCACAGGGACTGGACTCCTGTTAGTGCCCAGAGTCAGAACTAAACATGGGGAGGCTGCTTTTCAGATTCATGCTGCTAAAATCTGGAACAATCTTCCTGAAGATGTGAGACAGGCCTCCTCTCTGACAATGTTTAAAACCAGGTTAAAGACAGTTCTGTTTAGCTGTGCATACAACTGAGGGATTTTATATTTTTATCTTTCTTTATAATTTACTGTGATTATTTATGATTTTAATGCTATCTTATTTTGTTCAGCACTTTGAGTTGCCTTGTGTATGAATTGTGCTATACAAATAACCTGGCCTTGCCTTGTGTTCTTGTTGAATCTTAATGTGTTTGTCTGCTTTGTTGTGTTTGATAAAAGAAAATAAAGAACCAAAACGAAACAGACTGGTATGAGGTAAACGGCTGGCAGGGTCCGCTACATATGGACTCCAGAGAGTGTAAGTGTTTTTTATAATACAGTATGTACTTATGCATCTGATTTGCATTATCTTACCTGCAGCTCCTCGTCTCTGAGATTCTCCCCCAGCTCCTTTGCAACTCTCTTCAGGTTTTTGAAGGAGATTTTCCCGGTGCAGTCGTCGTCAAACAGCCGGAAAGCCTTGAGGATCTCTTCCTTGGAGTCCTTCTCACTCTGCGGGGAACAGGGTACAGTAGATAAAGTCTGGTGCGTATGGGATCGCGTGGGCCGTGTCCGCACAGACGCACCATCTTAGTGGACATCATGCTGAGAAAGTCGTCAAAGTCGATCGTTCCGGAGCCTTCTTTATCCACGTCTGCGATCATCTTCTTAATGTCCTCTTTCTTTGGTTCGAAACCCAAGGCTCGCATGGCGACCTGGAGAACACACCAATGGTTCATAATGAAGTGAGAAGACAAACTTTCACTGTTATGAGCAGAGGATGGAGGCATGAGGTTGTACTAGTTTCTATTATGTTAAGTTTTTAAATAGATTCTTAAACATGTACTTCTCCACCCAAACATACTAAGTAAAATACTGCAATCATGTGCACTTTGTGTCACTTTATCTACTGATTACCCTGCCCTATATGTATTTAACTTTGCACTATATAGATATTTTTTAAAGATTGATAATGAAGCATTCACAGTTAGCTAAGAAACATTAGCAGTTATTTTGTATATCTTGTGTGCTCTCTGTGTGTTCAGATTACTACTGTCCTGTATATGCGCTGCAACATGGAACTTTCCCCATAGTGGGACGAATAAAGGATCTCTTAACTTATCTTGGATGTTGTTTTTGTGACAGGCCTTGCTGCTCATCTCTTTCCATCACAGTGACAGAACCATCTACACAGAGAATGGGTCCAACCTTGAGTTCCTTGACATCGATGACGCCTGTCCCATCAGTATCGAACAGATCAAAGGCCTCTTGTATTTCCTGCTTCATCTCTGGAGTCACTTCCATTTTGGGGCCTGCTTTTTTCTTGGCTGGCCCTGCAGAGCCTCCTGCTTTCCGGTAGCTCGAAGCCTGAAGAGAAACCACCAGAACATGGACTCAACATGGAATTCAAAACAAGATCTGTTTAATACAGATGAAAGCGAGGGCTTTTTAAAGTCTTTATCACCAGTAAAATACAATTTTGTTTTTTTAGGGGACGTATGAAACATTTGGTAATGTTGTATAAATAAAATGCCCACGCTGACACAAAGAGAATAGTGAATAACTACCATCACCTCTTTTATTATCAGTCATTTCATGTATTAACATTTATAATAATATTTTATATCTTGTATACAGTAATAATCCTTGTTGTGTCAGCAGACTAGCAAGTATTAACGCACAGGCAGCTTCCTGTTTGTCACTCTGCAGTCCAAACTAGCAGACTTCAACTTGAAGGCAGAAGAAGTTAGTCACTTCCTGTTCTTTCTAAGGTGTTGCTGAGAAAAAAGGATGCGGACCGAGACTCAGACCTGGACCAAAGTTTGCTTGAATCAGATCCAGACCTGGTCTTGCTGCTACTTCCACATCGGGGGCCAAAAGATGACTTCTCCTGATACGCCATGCCCCCTTGCACATTCAATATATGTGATCATATAGTTTTTGGCTCAGTTCATAGGGATAGATAGGAGCTCAGAGATTTTTATATGAGTGTTTAATTGTAAAGAGAATTAAATATTGTTTATTTGAACTCTTGAATATCTGAGTCTTCTTTTCTGGTCAAATTCTGAATCACGTCCTGACAAAAGTAACATATCTATATTACGAAGAATAGCCACTTGAGATGCATTATATAATTTTTGAGAGGTTCATGAAAAATAACACAAGCAGCAGCAGCGGTTGTCAATTAAATGCAGTCACAGTATGGTGTGACAAATAAAAACAAGGTTTAGTAAATAAATTCAATAAAACAGACAAAACACAAAAAATATATATACAAGGACAGGCACACACACACACGTTAAGGAGCAAATAGAGGTCGGAAGGAGATTCCAGTAGTTTGGAGCTTTATATTGAAAAGCATATTTGCCAAGTTATTTTTTGTCACGATCGGTGTGAAAGAAAAGCTGGTTTGTGAGAAAAGGTTATAAGAGGAATTGAAAAGGATTAGTCCAGGAAATAACAATTATAAAGGATTTTAATTTTTATTTGAATCTTTGGACACAACAATGGACAATTTATCTAACTAGCTAGATACTAGCTAATTTAACATTAGGACTCCCAGAGCAGTTATTTTGACGGATTCCATTCAAACCAATGGCACCATTTTTTTTTAACACAATTTAATTTTCCACTAGTTTCATTAGTAAGTTTTAAGATCTCAAATAAAAAAAAAAAACCATTGAAAACAGTTAGATACAGAAAAATCACGACGTTATGTTGGCCTAGAATGTACATAAGTATGAGTTAGTTGTCGTTACGCTTCCAAAGCTAAAACCCGTCAAATTGACAGCTCTGGGAGTTCTAGTGTTAAGTTGCAAAGAGTTCTCGGTTTTGTTTTAAGATTAGATTAGATACGATCAAACTTTATTGATCTTACAATGGAGAAATATGGAAAAAATGTTGAAGTAAAAGCTGTTACTTCTAAAATGAATAGTTATGTTAGCTGTTATGTCGTGAATTTAACTTCTATGTGCAAGGAGCTAGAATAAGAGATTCCACTGTACATTTCAAAGCTGCGCTGTGGTGCCTTCTCAAAGCTTTGTTGGGTCATATGACTTGCTAGCTAGCGTTAGCTCGACTAACCATTTCAGTGTGCAAAACTACCCCGAAACTTGGGGACCTACCTCCGTGAATTTTGACTGCGTAAAGCAAACCAAACAACCATCATTTTAACATCAAATGCGCAAATACAACTTTACCATGATGATAAACTGCGTGTTCAGAGTAAACCGAGCGAAACGTGCTGCTTCTCAAATGTCAACAAAGTGCTTGCCAACGGGTATGCTGCACTTTGATTGACAGCACTGGTATCCAATGAAAAGACGGTGTGTGCTTAGAGTAACCAATAGCAACGGTGAATGGGCGGGCTATGTAGTGGAATTGTGGTTTCCAAGCAACCGGGGGCCACGCATGCGCAGTGCGATGTGGGCTGGACTAGCGGATCTGTGGCTGCATGTGAGCAACGTTTGAAAAGTCTGATTATGATTCTGTTTTCAGGTAAAGTTTGAGCAAAATGTGTTTCAGTCTGGAGCACATTTAGAGCCACATTCTGTCAGCAATGTGCGGTCTCCTCTTCTTTCTTCCTCGATTTTTTTGCGCTAGTAAACGTCATACATCTTAATCTAAACAAGCTAACATCTAGCTAAACCCACAGATTATACTTCTATGATACTTCTGCATTCAAAAGATAGAATATGTTTGTTTTCCCTGTGTTTGTGTTATTTGTGCCTCTCAAGGTGAATTCTTTGAGAGACAAGAATGTGACAAAAAAGTAAAAAACCAGTAAAAAACAAAGTTTCATAGATTCAGTTTGTATTCATTTATTCATTGTGTGAAGCTATCGCAGAACAAGGTAGATAATCATATACAGACATACAGAGACATTGGGATAAATAAAACAACTAGTTCATACATTTAAACTACATTTCAACTGCATGAATGATTAAACAATAGTCAGAGACATTAGACAGATTAGTACAGCTAAACATGCAAGTATAGTACTTTTTCATTTTGAGTTTTATAAAGAATTATGCAGGAGATTATCCATCTCTACAAAGTTACAGATAGCGTAGAAGTTTAGAATTATTGGATTAAATTGGATGATTTTGCTTAAACACTTATTCGTGCTATATAAAACTGAACATTAAAAAGTAAGAGTGGAGACACAGTTCTTCAGTTGTATGCACAGCTAAATAAAACTGTTTTTAACCTGGAGTTGAACATCGTTAGAGAAGAGCGGACGACTGTTCCAGATTTTAGCTGGAGAAATAGGAAATGCTGCTTTCCTGTCTCTAGTTATGACTCGGGGACCAGCAGGAGGCCAGTCCCTGTGCTCCTCAGGATCTGAGTTGGTACACATGCTACTAACATACATGTATGGGCGATGTATTTTGGTATTTGAATCGCTGTATAGCAATACTTTTTGTATAGCAATACTTTTTATATATTTCTGTTTCAATATGTGGCCCTCAGCAAAGCAAAGTTACAGTATTTACAGTATTTTGTTCTTAAGGACATTCTCATTCATTTCAGATTGATGAAATGGCAGGAAGCTCTGTTCTAAACCAGCGTCAGCATGTGGGACTACAGAAGCTGGTGGCGTTGTCTGGCATCACTACAGCGTTTCTGGGACCCTCCAAAACCTACAAGATCATTCAAGATGATGTAACCGGTGAATCCACTCTGGTGTCCTCGTGTCATCGGCTCCTACAGAACCTCGAGCTGACCTGTGCTGTGGGCCAGCTGGTTTATGAGACTGTGGAAGCCCATCACACAAGGTATAAAACAGGTTCCGGATGCTTGCTTTTCATGGCCGGGGCGTGGGCTCGAGCCGCTTTAGAGTGCCTGCATAGAGGAATCCCCATCGTACATATCATATCAGCTATGTCAGAAGGAATGGATCTGTGTTTGAGTGTTTGCAAGCAATGTAGGATCCCACCTATAGAACTTGACCCAAAACAAACAACTCCGACTAATGTGAAGGATTCAACAAAAAGGCGTCCGGTATCGGTTAGCACAAAGACACACATAAAACTCAAGCTAAGTCGACACTTTCAGGAACCAGAATTGAAAAAAGCAACTCCCAATAGTAACTCAGCAGAGCCACGACTCGCCAACATTGCAAGGACTCTAAGCCACGGACACTCTGAGACAATGGACTTGGTCGTCAAAGCAAGCCTCATTCAAGACAAACAAGATCTACCATTTGACATTGACAAAATCTCCACTTGCTTACTCCCTGGTTCCAGTGAGAGTCGTGCTTGCGTTCTCCCAGGCTGCGTCGTGAGTGTGTGTCCAGAAAAAGCGGTCATTTCACGCCATTTACAAGGGCGGGACTTGAAGGTTGCACTAATAAACGGGGATTTGACACCTGCCTATCGCCATCTTGGTTACAACAAGCCAAAAGGTCTACAAAGAGTTGCAGATTCTCTAAGCTCAGACAATGCCACGGACGAATGGTTGGAGCGCGTTGTAAGACTTTTGCTGGACCTGGACGTGAACATATTGCTGATCAGCGGGATTGCGGACGGAGCACTCAAGAACCAATTTTGGAAGCATCACATTCTTGTAGTGGAAAAGATGAGGCTTTCTGTTTTGAAGACTTTCACTTTGTCAACAGGTGCTATTCTAGTCTCCTATGCCACTCAGTTGAATTCAAGATGTGTTAAAAGTGGAGTCAGTGTCAACGTATGGAAAGATGGGAGCAATTTTGCAACCTGCGAAACCCTTTTGAACATTTCTACAGATACGAAAAGCGGGTTAGCGACGGTGGTGCTAACAAGTTGGGTGGAGGGCAAGTTGCCGTGTGAAGAGGACGCATTCTGGGCTTGTGCGTATCGCTTACACTGGGCATTAAAAGACGCTTTTCTTCTGCCCGGCGTTGGGGGGACGGAATTGCTTTGCATTCGTCAACTGCAAGAGCAAGCAGGAGTCTACGCCAACAGCTGCAAACCTGTTCCCCTGATGAATCCGAGATCAGCTGCTGGCCCTGACCGCGGTGTTGTGTTGCAGCTTATGGCAGAGGGGTTGATGGACTTCGTGAGCGGCGTGATGGTCAACACTGGGGAGTTTTCCAAAGTGGAAGCCAGGACTGTTGCGGTGGAGAGACTGCGAGGCTGGGACGGACGTGTTAATAGAGCGGAGATGAACGGGGATCACGAGAGCAGGATCTGTGATAATCTAAGCGTGAAGCAGGAGGCGTGGAGGACAGCTCTGGATCTAGTTTTCTTGGTTTTACAAACGGACGCAGAGATTATAACAGGAGTGGGACAAGAACGATCGGGGCAGAAGGAGCTTATGTTTTTATAGCGTTTTCACATAAAAAAAAAAATTAAAAAATTAACATTATTTTCCTGTTAAACTGTTTGGTTTTCTGTGTTGGTTTATATGAGAAAACCAGTAGGTCAAAATCATATTGAAACTACTTTATACATCAAACAAGCAAGATGTGTTTGTTATCATTGCATATCTTGTGTCTAAACTATTTTATTCTCTGATCTGGGAGAACAAATTGACACCTTTTTGTAAAGTCCTCCGAGATGACTACTGTTGTGGTTTAGATCTACATGTATAACGAAATTAGCTGAGTTGAATTGAATGAGTAGGCCTGAGGCTGAGCAGAGAAAATAAACAGCTGGAGTAAGCAATATAAATTTAAATCCTTTACTGTAAAAATGTTTTACGAACTAATAGCTCAAATCTGCCAACTATAAAAGGCCAAATGCAATCTTGATCATCTTCTCCTGGGTCATTGCACAAATCCTTCCATAACTTTACTAACAGACAAACGCCACTTTACCTCCTGGGAAGAGGTAATTATTACATGAAAATGTTGCATACTTGGGAATTTCAGTTTTCACCACATGGTGGGGACAAATCTCTAAAATTGGGAACCCAATCCCAATGTTGTAACTATGATTTCAGTATCTTAGCCTGATGTCACAAAACTTTTCAATCAATCAGTAGAACGCTTTTTCTACACAAGAAAACATTAAACCAGGGCCTTAAAACAGCCATTAACATCACACAGAAACATAAAAACAAACATTAAAATCACATTAGTCATTAATATCATATATAACCAGTGTAGTGGGCGACAGTAGCTCAGTTGGTAGAGCATTGGCTTTTGGGCCTGAAGGTCGTGGGTTCAAGCCCACCATAAGGCCTACTTCACGACTCCCACTGATGACTGCTGTCGTTTTGTCCTTGGGCAAGACACTTAACCCCACTTTGCCTGAAGCTCCCATTGAAAGATCTCAGCTCCTGTGGACTCACCACCTGCAGGAGGATCAGTGAGGGGCTGGTGCTCTGTGTACTGGGTGCAGCTCTGACTGCCACCCCCCCGACCCAGAAATGGATTAAGGGGAAGAAAATGGATGGATAACCAGTGTATTCAAAATAGTAAAGATGCAGTCCTTCAGTTGTAGCACAGCTAAACAGAAGTGTTTTTAACCTGGATTTGAACATTGTCAGTGTAAAAGCCTGTCTCACATTTTCAGGAAGACTGTTGCAATCTTTCTTTTCTTCCTGCAAATGTCTATATAATTTTCCACACTGAAATGGGGCAAAATGATCATGCACAGTTAACACAATCTACACACACTTTGTATGAACCTATACATTCCTCCCGCTCCTCTGTAATGAGAACGTCAGGAGCTGCTTTCTTGGATGATGTCACACGCCTCTCAGACAACAACCTGCCACGAACTCTGCTTTTTTCATGTAAATCAAACGGCCTCCTTTTCCATTCAGAAGTTCCTCCAAAGTGAAAGAAAGTGAATGAATGTCTCTTCTGCTGCTGCTGCATGAACGCGGCTCTCGTTCCCATGACGCAGTTTCCCTTTGCAAAGTCTGAAGTGAGTAGTGATTTTTAGGACTTGAAATTGAACATTCATAGTTCTTTTCTAGCTGTTTACATTCTCTTATCAGGAATATATAGGAATGACATGAATAACTTTACCCCTAATACTCCTAATGTATGCTTTGTAAGAATCTATATTAATAATACTTTAGCGAGTAATGCTACAGTATATTTGGTTTTCTTAGTCAGTCAGGAGTGCTTTGCTTTGAGTCAGAGTGAGAGTCACAGTGAGTCAAAGTCAAAATAATAAGTTAATAAATATGGCATAATTCAAGTAGTTATCTTTAATTTGAGTTTCTATATTATAGATCTATGTTCAAACAAAATATCCAACAAGAAACCTTTTTTCAACAACAACATATTTTTGAGTAAGAAAATGGGACAATGGGGCAAAATTATTGTTTATTTACTTTTATTCATCAAAAATGTTTGTGTGTTTACATTGTTTTGGTTACTTTGCAGATAGCGACACAACATCAGAATCAGAATCCTTTTTATTGCTATGGGAGTAACAGGAAGTCACAAACTAGGAAATATCTTCGGCTCTCGGTGAAAACAAGTTAAAGCAGAATAAAAACAAGAAGGCATGCATAAAAAAACAGGTTCAAAACAGGTTTTTAAATTAAAGTCCAGGGGAAGTGAGTCATTCACTGGGTCAATGGAGCGAAACAAATTGCTTTCAAAATACTGTATCATTCTAAGGCAAACTGGTCAAATAAAATAATAATAATAATAATACATCGGTTTTATATTGCGCTTTTCAAAAACTCAAAGTCGCTTCACAATTCAGGACACACACACGTTAAGACAGACACACAAAACTAAAAATCTAAAAGCAGGAAAGAAGAGTATAAAGATGAGACTAAGAGTCATATGCTTGGAGGAAGAGGTGAGTTTTTAGCTGTTTTTTGAAGGAGTCCGAGTTTCTGAGATGAGGGGGGAGAGATGGCAAAAGCTCGGTCCCCCAAGGGTCAAGGCTCAAGTTGAAATCATTAAGGACTTTTGTTTTACCAGATTTCCCCAGATGTTTCTAGACACATTTTATGAGAAATTAGACCAGAATGGATCTAGTGACCAACGTGGAACTTTATGGCAGCGTTTTTTTAATGTTGAATATCCCAGGATTGACAGAGAAATTGCACTAAGTCTAACTTTTGACTGTTACAGCAAAGACTTTTCAGCTGCCTCCCACAATATCAGCTCTTAGGAATGTTGTAATGTCACATGAATGCGACCTAGTATTCAACAACCATTCATTTAAAGAAACATATCTATTATTGTGAGTACATTTTCAGCTACTCCATAACTTTACTCTAACCACTTTGCTCTTTACTTAAGTACAAACCCCTAACCTTTCCACCTCCACTGCCGGTTGGTCTCGCAGTTAATTCCGCAGTATTAAGTGGGCGTGTGTTTCGCAGTCTGCTGTCAGGGCGCATGCGAACTAGACGGGGCCCAAACGGGGAAAGCCTCTCTCAGATCTGAGCCAGCTGCTTTGATTTAGCCTCTTCATTATGGCAGGCTTTAGAGCAGTCGCCACACTCATGCACCGCTTCCTTCTACAAGCTTCAACTCTGCTTCTCTGCTGTTTTTAGGGTCCCACAACTGCACCTCAGAAGGGGGCAGTCCAAACAAACTCACCCCAGGAGGCTAAGGAGTTATTGGAGGAGAGGAGTAGGAGGAAAAACTATTAGTAAGTGTGGGAAGTAGAAGGAGATAGAAAGAGAGAGAGAGAGAGGGTGATTCTGGAAAAGCAAGGAGAAGCAGAACTGGTCAGAGACGGGAGGAGATGGCTACCGGAGAAATCACCACTCTCCCCCCTTCCTCCGACGACAGCGGCGGTCTCACTCCAGGGACCTTCAAAGACCCCAAGCGACTGTACTGCAAGAACGGAGGCTACTTTTTGAGGATAAGATCGGACGGAGTCGTAGATGGGATTCGGGAGAAGCGTGACCCTCACAGTAAGTACCCCCCCACCACCACGACCATGGGACATCACAAAGCTGCTTTCTGCCCGCTGTATGTGTCAAAGTTAGAGTTGGGGAAAATGGAAAAGATGTGGATTTTCCAGCACTTACACAACTGTTTGGAACCAGTGTCTAGATTTTTCAGTTTTGGAAAAAGTAGCAGCACCTCAAGGCAAATGCCACGGAACATTGAGTTTTATTATGAATGGGTTTGAATTGCTACTGAAGGTCCTGGGTTCGAGTCAACCTCCAGGCCTTTCTGAGTGGAGTTAACATGTTCTCCCTGTGTCTGTGTAGGTTTCCTTCGGGTGCTTCGGTTTCCCCTACCACTAAAAACATGTACAATAGGTTGCCTTCTGTATGGTGACCCCGCTCTCATGTGTGGAGTGAGAGGATAAATGCCCACAAAAAATATGTATAATTGTGAACCACTTTGTGACTCTGGTCTGCATAAAAATATATACAGACCAGAGTAGAATACTAGAGTACATACAGCTATATAAATAAATATTCTACCAGTACTTACTTACTGGTAGAATTGGATATTGACCTTGGCCTCTTCCATATGAAACAAAAACAGACTAATTGAGAAGAAATATTGAATGTATTCTGGCAGTTACCTATTCCATTCAAAAAAATATAGCAAATTAAGGCAGAATTTCATAAGTGAATTACTTTAATTTCAGTGCGATAGTTGATTTGACTTGACCCAAGCTTCAGCTTGGGTCAAGCTCCAGTTAGGGGTCCTCCAGTTATCTTGTTGACGTAATCATCATTTTGTATCTACAGTGCAAAAAGTGATGGAAAATAAGTACAAAACTGCGTAAATTTGGCAAAAATGTTTGTTCATATGAGCACATTCTGACTGCCTTAAAACACAATTTGCCAATGGGACAAAGCAAAAAAATCTTGTCTTGAAAAGATACAAGAAATGTCTCCTTTGGAAAGAGAAATTAAGCATTGAAATAAGGCTGATTGACTTCGTCCCATTGGGGAATCTTGTTTGAAGACAGTCAGAATGTGCTTGAATTAAGATAAAAACCACTCGTTCCAAGAAATCATGACCTCATATTGTATCACTTACAGCGTATAGGCTCTGTGACACATATCCTCTATTACCAATATTATGTATGGGAATGGGACTCTCAGACTTCCAAGCAGGTGTCCTAAAATTAGACACTAATCCAAGTCCCTTTAGTGTGCAGCTATTTTTAAAGTGTTTTGTATCACGGCGTGTCTTAAGACCTTGTTGAATTCTCTGGGGATGTGTTCATAACAAAAGCTAATAAGTAACAGTTTGATGATAATGGTTCAGATAGAAGAGAGTTTGCGTGACCTGAGCTGGACATTTTCAATGGATCTTTTGTTAAAACCGAGAACTAGCTGCCAGCGTGAGACGACATGTGTTTCTGGGAGCTCACACAGACCGTAAGCCAATATTTGAGGAATGGTAATGCTTAAAACTGGCAACAATTTGATAGCGTACTTAAATAATGTTAACGAGAGCAGGGAGTCGCATGTCCTGCAGCCACTTATTTGCCTCCACAGCCACAGCTAAAGGAAATGTTCCCCTTTTTCTGTGGAACGTTAAAGACTGAAACCCCGAATGCATCAATTACACATGTCTGAAATGGGTTGTTTTGGATGTGTTGCATGACTAATCCCAAGTCGGTGCACACGGATGACTACGCGTTTGACTCAAGATTACACTTTTCTCAGTAAATTTACACAGAATAATGACCCTAACGGCAAAAACTCAGAAAAATTAGGTAATTATTGCTTGAATTGAGTGGTTTTCATCTTAATCTGAGCATTTAGTCATTTAGTCTTATTTTAACTGTTGCTTTAGTGGAAGACTGAGGCACCCACAATGTAAGGAAGAGAGCTACAGGAGGGCCTTTATCCCCACCGCTGTCAGACTGTACAATAAGTCACTTTAAGTCACTAATACACTAGGACTGAAAAACCTGCACTGCTATTGCCACTCGGCGGCACGGTGGCTGAGTGGATACCACTCTCGCTTCTCAGCAAGAAGGTCCTGGGTTCGAATCTCGGTCACTGGTTTCCCCTACCACTAAAACATGCACAATAGGTATGAATGTAAATGAGAGAGTGAATGGATGGTGTTGATTGGGGGCTGATGGTCCAGTGTGTTCGGCGACTCGCCTCCGTCATCACCGTGTGTGGAATGATTGGAACAATATCTGAACTCTGAACATTGTAAAGTGCTTTGGGTGACCTTGGTCTGTAAAATGCGCTATATAAATAAACATTACTTACTTACTCACTTACTCTTTCTTTTATTGCCACTTTTTTATTGTACATAATTATATCCTGCACAGACTTTATTTTTAACCTTTAACATGTTCCACACTTCTGTCTTTTGCACAATCCGAGTGATTCTATCTGTGCCAAATGTGACATGAGGCAAATCTCTCCGGTGTGAGATCAATGATGTCTATCTTATGTTCTCATTCCAAGGGAGACAATTCTTTTATAATTTTTAAAACAAGAACATTTTGCTTTGTCCCATTGGCAAATCTTGTTTTAAGGCTCGGTCAGATTATGCTCAGATTAAGATTCATGATACACTTTTCCAAATCGGTTCTGTAACTGATGATGCAACACTGACATTTCCCCACTGTGGGACGAATACAAGATCTCTTGGGCACGCTTGTTAGCGCTTGTGCATCACAGCAAGAAGGTCCTGGGTTTGATTCCACCTCCAGGCCTTTCTGTGTGGAGTTTGCATGTTCTACTTGTGTCTGCATAGGTTTTCTCTGGGTGCTCCGGTTTCCCCTACCACTGACTTGTATAGTTAAGAGTAAATGAGTGTGTGTTTGTGAGTGCGAGTGTGTGACAAATCCAGAGAGGTGTGTTCATTAACATGCACTGTCCCAAATTAATAAATAAACAATAAATAAATATATAATCTTAAAATTGTGCATGAAGTACTGGCTTGATGCTTATGGTTTTTCAAATGGAACTCTTGAATTTGTTTTTTAAAAGTTTTTTCTTGACATTAAATATACGGGATATCAACTCAGAGGGTTCGGGTCAGAAAAATTGCCATTAGATATTTTGCTTATATTGTGCAGACCGATGCTCAACGCTGAAGAGTAAACACATCTCAGTATAAAATCTGAAAACACACTGGAATCGGTCTCACAGTGGTCCTGCCCAGAGCTGCTCCCAGACTCCGCTGTTCCCTCTGTGTCAACACATCTCACTGCAGACTCCAACATTCCCCTGATCTCCATGGAAGCAGCGAGCAGCAGGCGGCAAGAATCCTAACAACTACTTATGTGTTTTAACATCAAAAAGTATTGGATTTATTATCATGGCTTCACTTTTTTGTATACCGCGCAGGCTGCATAGTTTGCATTATGACTTTTTTATTATTACCCCAGGTTCAGATTTGTTACACAGATAGGGCCTCTTATTACATTCTTGGGGGGGGAAGTTTATCTTGGACAAACATAACAAACACACATACTCAGCCTTCAGGTTTTTAAATTGTCTGTAAAGATTATGTCAACATGTTCTCATAGCTGTAGTCTCCATCACTTCTGTTGAACTTGTAAACGCGTGTGTTTTGCAGTAAAGCTTCAGCTGCAGGCGACCTCTGTGGGGGAGGTGGTCATCAAGGGGCTCTATGCAAACCGCTTTCTGGCCATGAACCGAGACGGACGACTGTTTGGAACGGTGAGTCACGTTCGAGGATTGATTAATATGTTGTAGTACATTAGATTAATGCTAATGTCAAGTTCAAAAGAATAAGTCTAAAATGCTATAGATTAAAACTGTAAAAGTCAAATTCATTCAACAAGATGTAAATCTGAGTTTACAAACAGGAAAATCGGCTTTAATATCTAAGACACTCCCGTTATTTAGACACCTGTGAGGTCATTAGTTTGCAGGTGGGAGCAGACTGATGTTCTACTTGCTGTCAAACTGAAAGAAACTGAAATTATAATTTTTGTTTTTGTTTAATAAATGGACTTCATTGGATTAGATCGCTGGTCTCTTTCTCTAGTCTCTCTCTCTCTCTGGTCTCTTTCTCTAATCTCTCTCTGGTCTTTCTAGTCTCTCGCTGGTCTCTCTCTCTGGTCTCTTTCTCTACTCTCTTTTCTCTGGTCCCTCTTATGGTCTTTCTAGTCTCTCTCTGGCCTTCCCGTCTCCCTGGTCTTCAGTGTGACAAACCCTCCATATCTGGCTCCCTCTGTTTAAATGAACCACTACCTCGTCGCCCATTAGTTTCTATCCTCTCTGTACAAATGCAGGTAATAAAAGCTCGATAATCCTTTCTTTCAACACAAAGTGACAAACCCCAGTGCGTTGTAACACAGCTCAATGTGACTCATCTCGGGGCAGCCGGCCCTCGCTGCAGCAGGAGAGGCACTGATGTGGTTACAGTCCTTTTAACGAGACAGAAGCATTTCCTCTGAATGAGAGACTGCAGCTGTGAGCTCCCACCCAACAGCACTCCCTCTGCTCCTGGAGGAAGTCATTCATTTAACACCATGCTCTAAACATCACTTACATAAGAAGTTACAGGGATGTTAGTCATGAGGCCAATTGCCACATGCTTCACCTCAAACAAGTGGAGTATAGAATTAACATCCACCTATAACCTAAACCATTGAAAGTCAGAAACTGTGAAACCTATGAAACTGTGCAGGGGAGGGCCTGGTTAGTACTGTGATGGGAGACCTCTGCGAACACCCGGTGCCACAGTTGGATGCTGCAGCTGTAAAGTGCCAAACTGTGGTTGTGTCCTTAGGCAAGACACTTCACTCACATTAGAATGAGTCTGGTGTGTGTGTGAATGGTTGGTGTTGGGAGGGGGCTGATGGCAAAGACTGGTTGCCTCTCTTCTGTCAATGTACCTAAGCTACAGTAGTAGTTTATCACCAAACACGAGTTTGGAGTGAAAGAATAATGACGTGACAAAGCGCTCTATATGTATCTGGGCTTGTTCACACTAAAGGGCACAAAAGTGTGACAAAAGGCCAAAAATTAGATTTTAATAATCAGAAGATATTTTATGTTTTTCATGTTTCCAAGCACCTCTTCTGTCCATTAGAGGTTGCTAGAACATAACTGTTTTATACATTAGACAGGTTTCCTAAAGCGGCCCTGTTTATTTTATGTAACGGACGTGATGATTTGACGGAATGAGCTTTGTGGAAGTTTGATAGGTATTTTCAGATGTCCACATTTGATACAGAGATTCTATTTTTTTACACAAAGTAGATGAAAAGTGATACTTTCATAATGTCAACCAATTAAATGTGAAAACAGACCAGATTTTTTTTTTCTCAAGTTTAATTTTTAGAGAAAAGAGGACCGTCCTCATCACGTCCGTTATACATTTTTCAGGGGTCATTTAATTAATTAATAAAACAAAAAAATGTTCACGATTCCTTTTTATATCAAGTGATTTCCTTCTGTTGTGTTAACCATGTAAATCTTGTGGGATTTCATCTTCTGCGTTTTCAGACTGAGGACATTTTATTTTCTATGTAACTGGCATCACAGTAGAATGGTCCAATCAGAGGCTGATTTGGTCGTTTAAAATGTTGCTAAACATTTTTATGTCAATCTTTCCTTTAGATTTTTTCCACACTATCTCTTCAATGTGTCTGTGTGGTCTCTTTCTCTAGTCTCTCGCTGGTCTCTTTCTCTAGTCTCTCTGTGGTCTCTTTCTCTAGTCTCTCTGTGGTCTCTTTCTCTAGTCTCTCTCTGGTTTCTTTCTCTAGTCTCTCTGTGGTCTCTTTCTCTAGTCTCTCGCTGGTCTCTTTCTCTAGTCTCTCTCTGGTCTCTTTCTCTAGTCTCTCTCTGGTCTCTTTCTCTCTCTCTCTCTCTCGCTGGTCTCTTTCTCTAGTCTCTCTCTCTAGTCTCTCGCTGGTCTCTTTCTCTAGTCTCTCTCTGTGGTCTCTTTCTCTAGTCTCTCTGTGGTCTCTCTCTCTGGTCTCTTTCTGAAAAGCGCTGTATAAAGTGTTCTGCAGGGTTGAAATAAAATAAATCAAAATCCAATACATTATATACCCAGGTACAGCCATCTGTGAGCTGGCAGAAGCACTCTTTTCTCATGGATTTTAAACATGTATGTAACTTGTATGTTTCCATATACAGTCTTTTATTAAATACGGTTATATACATTAGATACAAGTATTCAGTCCAATTCAATCACACAGATAGTGACACAGAAGCAGCAGGTTTAAGGAGGTTGTTGTCCTGAGAAGTAGATATTGCACTTGAGTGATAGTGATTGTTGTCGTTACAGAGACGCGCCACAGAGGAGTGCTACTTCTTCGAGCGACTGGAGGGGAACAACTACAACACATACCGCTCAAAGAAGTACCCTCACATGTACGTGGCCCTCAAGAGGTCTGGGCACCACAAGTCTGGAAACAAGACCAGCCCAGGACAGAAGGCCATCCTCTTCCTGCCCATGTCGGCCAAGAGCTAATCTCTGCAGGGGTTAGCCAACAACGACTTTAGAGACAATGTTACGGCAATAAACATATTTTTTTCATTCAGCGTTAGCAATAGAGACTGTGATGCTACTCATGCTGCTTTTGGAACACGCCAGTCCACGGTCTCACAGGACAGAGACTGGTGCAGAGACTGGTGCAGAGACTGGTGCAGAGACTGGTGCAGAGACGGGTGCAGAGACGGGTGCAGAGACTGGTGCAGAGACGGGTGCAGAGACGGGTGCAGAGACGGGTGCAGAGACGGGTGCAGAGACGGGTGCAGAGACGGGTGCAGAGACGGGTGCAGAGACTGTCCAGGCTACAGCTGCATTTAATCATTTAAGATGCAGCTGTGTCAACCTAAAATACACCTTCGTCTGAAAATATTAAGGCAAACAAAGGTGGTGAATGAACAAAAACAAATGTTCATCCATCCATTTTCTTACGCTGTTGCCGGGTCACGAGAGCAGCAGTCTAAGCAGGGACACAACTTCCCTCTCCACACACACTTCCTGCAGCTCATCTGGGGGAATCCTGAGGTGTTCCTATAGGCCAACTGAAAGACACAGTCCCTCTGTGTCCTGGGTCTTCCCCTGGTCAGTGATCACATGTAGAAGCAGCAGCTCTACACCAAGCTCCTCCCGTCCTTTCAATCATTACCCAAAGGTCATGACCAGAGGTAAGGGAGGGGACACAGATCGACTGGTAAATCGAGATTTTTGCCTTTCGACGCTGCTCCCTCTTCACCACAACAGCCTAAAACAGCTCTGACTGCAGCCGCTGCTCCCTCTTCACCACAACAGCCTAAAACAGCTCTGACTGCAGACGCTGCTCCCTTTTCACCACAACAGTCTGATACAATGATGGAGTGTGAGATGGACTAAAAACAAATATTTTAAAACGGGTGTAATATTTGACTAAATTAATCTAAAATGGACAAAGAGGATGGATTGCCTTTCCCTTGTATTGAATTGCCTTCGCTCTGTTATTGCTTGAGAAATGAACCGATAGAGCCGTAACATCCTGTGCCGTAACATTCTGTGCCATATGAAGGAGAAGCATGTAGGCCTCAGTCTGCCAGTGGTCGATGGTAGAGCTGGTAGAAGAGTCCTGAGTAGACGGCGGGCATCTCCTCCATGCTGAGGTCGATGTGGTGGAAGCCGCGCTCCAGGCCTAGCAGCAGCAGGCGGGACACTCTGGAGGTGATGGGGGTGGTGTGGGAGGTGCGGGACAGCTCCTCCAGGGGGAGCCACTCGCAGCGCAGACACTCCTGAGGGCAGAAGTTAATAGAGAAGGAGAGGGGGCTGAGGCGGCAGATCAGGTATAGGTCCGACATCCCAAACGCCCCAGGGTGCTGGTGCTGCTGCCGGATACTGAGCAGAGAGCGGAACTCTGAGCGCACGCCGGTCTCCTCCAGGACCTCCCGCACCGCTGTGGCTCCTGGGACCAGAGAAAGAGATAAGAGAGAGAGACCAGAGAGGGAGACAGTAGAGAAAGGCCAGAGAGAGGCCAGAGAGAGGCCAGAGAGAGGCCAGAGAGAGGCCAGAGAGAGGCCAGAGAGGGACCCCAGAGAGAGAGAGGCCAGAGAGGGACCCCAGAGAGAGAGAGACCAGATAGACCAGAGAAAGTGAAACCAGAGAGAGCGAGACCAGAAAGAGAGAGCAGAGTTGGCAGAAACAAACGGAAAAAACAAAATATATGTATAAACAATGGTTGCATTTCCACTACACTTCTCCGGTACCGTGTCGTAGCTTGGCCTGGTTCGAACCAGACTACAACTAAAATGAGTGAAGCAGGGCCAATGGAAATGCTTGGGAGTAGAGTTGAGAAGGGTTGGTGGAAACAGGGCTATAAAAGAACTTATAAAAAACTATATACTTTTTGTGTTTACTCAATTTTGCTTCTACAATGTCACTACTATTATTTTTGTTAGTCTAATGAATGTATTGTATAGTATTAGACTAGAGCTTACCAATGTCCTCCCCTGGATCAGACAGACCTCCAGGGAACTTCCAAGCATTCTTTGTCTGAAACAAGTAGAAAAAGCAGTCAACACTGGAACTCCCACAGCAGTCAATTTGACGGGTTTTTGTTTTGCGTAATTACTCAGTCTATTCACCTTTGTATTCTTTATAACTGTGCCTTTTTCTCTATCTATACGTGCTTTATTTCCATCTCAGTATTTTCTAAGAAATTATCTGCGTTGTTTTCGGTTAAATGGAGCAGTCAAAATGACGGCTGTGGGAGTTCTAGAAGTTTCAAAATTCTGGGAGTCCTCGTCTTAACTCACCTTAAACTCATTATTAGCAGAAATAGAATTATAATGTTGTAATAGTCACAACCTTTCTTTAAGTTATTTTGTTTTTTGTGGCTATATTTTTGTTGCCACTGTTCATCTTTGCATCATCACTGAATCATCTTTGCACCAATGAAAAACACAAATCTGCCTTTCATCTCGTTTTGTTCCACAGCTTAGAAAGTTCTTGACCAAAGTGTAAAGAAGCTAGCGCTGCACATGTTTCGGCGGCAGACTTACACGTTTGTCTCACTTTGATTGAATACTTTCTAAGCCTTTTGTTCCACGTTTGACAGAAGTGTGTGTTTTCTGTGTCTTATTTTGTGTCTATTCTTCACTTCGTACAAGTTCGACGCTGCTGAATTAAATTATACCAGTGCTGTATAGACTTTATTTTTGTAGGTTTGATTGATTGATGTACTTTTGACAGAGAATGCACTACTATATCTGTGTATTTATGTAGATATTATGTGAATAAAGGGGGTTATAAATGAATCTAGTTTGTCATCAGATACTCACACTTACAACTGTGTTTTAGACGAGGCAAGCCAAGTTTATTGGTACAGCACAACACAGTATATAGCACACTTTGACTTGTCTTCATACACAAGCCAAAGGATTAGAAAAGGCATTAAAATCATGAATAATCAAGGTGCATTAAAAAGAGAATATACAATCCCTCAGTTGTATGCACAGCGAAACCGAACTGTTTTTAACCTGAATTTTAACCTTGTCGGATAAGAAGCCTGTCTCACATTTTCAGGAAAATCCAGAGAGAGAGGCCAGAGAGAGAGGCCAGAGAGAGAGGCCAGAGAGAGAGGCCAGAGAGAGGCCAGAGAGAGAGGCCAGAGAGAGAGGCCAGAGAGAGAGGCCAGAGAGAGAGGCCAGAGAGAGAGGCCAGAGAGAGAGGCCAGAGAGAGAGGCCAGAGAGAGAGGCCAGAGAGAGAGGCCAGAGAGAGAGGCCAGATGGAGAGGCCAGAGGGAGAGGCCAGAGAGAGAGGCCAGAGAGAGAGGCCAGAGAGAGAGGCCAGAGAGAGAAAATCTGAAATACTACCTCCCCATGTTTTGTCCTGACTCTGGGCCCCAGTACTTGAATCTGTCCCCAAAAATAGTGTTGTTGTTTGTGTATGGCACGCACAGAGGAGGCTTGGAGATGTGGAAAAGCTGTGAAATGAGGCCTGAACCCTGATAAATAGCCGTGTGTTGTGAGAGGAGTGGTTCCAGGGAGGAGCACAGTGCAGAGGCTGTTCCACTGCTCACAGTTTACTCCTGTCTGAAGCAGAACGCAGCCACACCACCAAACAGTTCAGCTCCAAGTGCTTTTAAATGCCTCACTGACCTTTGACTACCCAGAAACCAACTCACTCCAAATACCTACACCAACACAATTCCATTCAATTCAAACTATTCTGTTAAAGCCCCAAATCACAACATTAGTTATTTTGGAGGACTTTACACAACCGTTGAATTTGCCAACACAGATCAGACAATCAAATGGTTCAAACACTAGAAATAAAAGAGACACATAGGGGGGACTTGACCAATGTCTATACTACATACTACAGTAATGGCCTGCTCATAATCCTCTCCAAACAGCAGTATATTCAAAACGCAGCAGCTCGAGTCCTGACTAGAACCAGGACTAGAAGAAAAATCACAGTAGTCCAGTCCTCAAGTCACTGCACTGGCTTCCTGTGGCTCAGAGAATAGACTTTAAAACAGCTCTGCTTATGTAAGAGTCTGTCTATGGCCAAAATACATCTGAGACATGTTAGCGCCGTATGAACCAACCCAGACTGAGGAGCACAGGGACTGGACTCCTGTTAGTGCCCAAAGTCAGAACTAAACATGGGGAGGCTGCTTTTCAGATTAAGGCAGCTAGAATCTGGAACAATCTTCTTGAAAATGTGAGATTGGCTTCATCTTTGACAATGTTTAAAACTAGGTTAAAAACAGTTCTGTTCAGCTGTGCTACAACTGAGGGATTTTATATTTTAATATTTCTTTTTGATGTACTGTGATTATTTATGATTTTAATGGTAACAGAATTTGTTCAGCACTTTGAGTTGTCTTGTGTATGAATTGTGCTATATATATATATAAACTTGCCTTGCCTTGCCTCCATAAGTGTTGATAAATGTCCATAGATGTTATTGAAGTTTGAGTGTCCTGGATCATCACCACTGCCCTTATGTTAGACCTCACAAGACCCAGACCCTCCTGCATTGGCAAGGAAAACATCTACACCCAGTGGGAAGTGAGAAACCTCAGGGAGAACCACATTGAGACAGGGATCCGCTCCCACGGACGGACGGGCTGCAGATCCAGGACTCATCTCACTGCATATACCTGCACCTACTCACTCCGTATACTAACTTTTGTCTCGTTGGGAAGAGCCGATCGGTTCAGAGTTCTTACCTTATTTCTGTCTTGAACGACCAGAACTTTCCCATTAGACTCGTCGACAACTGCGCCTGAAATCAGAGAAATGTTACTGTAATATTTGTATTGGCAATATAGGAGGTTAAAAGAGGGTGTTGCTGCACTGGCTGAAGGTTTACTAAAACATTTCAAGTTTGCACAAGGGGTCGACCAATTATCTGCACCAATGTAAAATTGATACATCAAAATATGTGTTGAAAATACAGACATCATACACACATACACACAAAAGTAAGTAGTCATATTAGTGTAGTCTGGCACTCCTACTTACTGTATTCGTGCCATGGAGCTATAATACTGTCTGGATAGGGTATTACTAGCTTATAGCTGAAACACCCATGGGTAGTCTGGCCGCGGTACTCCAGACTAAAAAAGACTAAATTCACGTGGGCTACCCAGACACTTTCTGCATAGAACTCAATGTAAACTAAAGCTTTCATAAAGGTTGGATTTTGTGGAGATTATGTGTCCCTCGTCATCCTGAACTTTTTTTCTTGTATAATCCATCAATTTTTGATAAATCCACACTTTAGAGCAACAAACTCTGCTCTGATCAGCAGCCCTGATTGGTCAGGACGACTCTGTGCACGTGCACGAGAGCCACACACGTGTATTTGGCGCAAAGCATCATGGGAGCTTGTCCACTGCGCAGAACCAGGACGACCAGAGGATGCCAGAATATGGGTGAGTTCCAATAATCTTTCGGCCCCCATGGTGGCTTCATGTGCCACTGAGCACAAGCCATTGATTTGAATACGCCGCCATCTTTGATCGCTGGGGCTTGATTTGTGCCTAAAACGAAACATTGTCTGATTAGTTGAGTTTAGTTTTGGGTTGTCTTCAGTCAAAATGAACAGGACACTTCCACATCTGTCTGTACATCTGTCCCCACCTCCAGTCTCTGCTGCAGTGGATTGAAATGCATTTGTTTTGTTAGGCGTGTATATGCTTCAGGCGTTAAACAAAATGATGGAGTTTGAAAGATTCCTCATTCTTGCGTTGGTGTCAGTCCTAAAAGAACGTCTCAGGATATGAATGACTTATACGTGCCGTCACTTCTTCCTACTGTAACTGGTCACGGTTGTTATTATAATAGATCCTTGGTCACGGTCCACACGGTTTCCTCTGAATGATGGATCGTCTGGTTTGGCTTCTGTGTGATTTCATCCCTAAATAAGTCCTTCCTTCAGGTAGCGACTGAGGACCGGGAGTGAAGTCCCAGATGTGGACAGTGGTGAGTTTAAGACAGTGAGAGGAAACTGATGTAAAACAGATTAGGTAGAGTTCAGAGAGAAACCCAAAGATTGTGGTTCACTTAATGAGTCCAGAGCAATCAGCAGCAGCGGTTTGGATCTAAATCTTCTGCTGGAACATTGACTGCTCTGCTTCAAAATGACCCTTACAATAACTACATTTGATTAATTATAGAACTTAATGTATTATGATTCATTCAAATTTTTTTTTGGTTACTAGGTCTTCCTAATAATAACCAACTGATTTTGAACCCTGGGTATAAGTGGTAAAAGATGAAAGTGGGAATTATACGGAAACACAGTGATGAGTGATATGTTTTATTATTTTTATGTATTTTTGATTTGGTTGAGAACACATTTGGTTGCACACCTCTCCAGATTGTAGCCTCGGGCTCATTTGCATCTGTCGTCCCACAGTCACAACCACACACACATTGACCCTGAACTTTTAAACATGTTTTTAATGCTAGAGAAAACCCACGGGGAGAACATGCAAACTCCACACAGAACGGTCTGAAGGTGGAATCGGACCCAGGGTTAGGGATTATTTAAGCCAATTATAATGTACCGTTAATGCCCTCTGTTGGCCAAAATGTGGAACTAACAATCTCATAATCCTTCACATTATGGAGGGTCCCATTGGCAACGTGTATTACGGAAAATAAAAAACTTGTTCTTATTAAGTAGTATATTAATAGCACTGTTAGTAGTCTCCTAAAGTAATTTCAAATTCACTTGCACATGTTGCCAGAATCTCCTGTCTGTGTCTAGCTCCTCCACTCTGATCACAGATGAAAACCACCTGCTGGGGCTGAACCCAAAACAGTACAAACTCTGAGTATTGACTTTTGTATCTGCTTCTTTTGGATAAATGTGTGGTGATTTTTTTGTTTGAATTTTGTTATCGTAATGAGAGCCTCACGCTGCTCTCTGATTGGATTCTCTGCTTGGAAATTGTAAACATAAATATTATAGATCATGTCCATTGTGTTTTTATTTAAGATTAACTCCACTTTAAACTAAAGTGACATAATGCATCTTTAAAATGAATACCAATTAGATCATCTCTGTGGAGTGAGAGACAAATGCCCACAATAATTGACTCTGGTCTTCTTACATTTCTACAGTCCTCATCACTGCAGGTTGTACCCAAGCCCAGGCGATCCAAGATGGCGCCCTATTCAAATGAATGGTTGTGCTCAGTGGCGCTTTGTGACAGCATGGGGGCTGAAAGATTAGCGGAAGTTGCCTGAAACTCGCAAAGATCTATGGGAAACTCGCCTGTATTTGGGCATCGTCTGGTCCTCCCGGTTCTGCGCAGTGGATGATCTCCCATAATGCGTTGCGCCAAACACGCGTGTGTGGGTCTCACACCGGGTCTCACGCACGTGCACAGAGGGGCTCGGCCGCGCTCTGACCAATCAGAGCAGTTCATCAGAGCGGGAGTTAGAGCGAGAGCCAGAGGAGCAGAGTTTGTGGCACTAAAGTGTGGATTTAAACAAAACCGAAGGATTTAAGAAGAAAAAAAGTTCAGGATGACAAGGGACACTAAAATCCCCACAAAATCCGATCTTTATTAAAGCTGTAGGTTCTCTGTCAGCTGAGGTTGAGCTGTTTTAATATGCATTGAGTTCTATGGGGAAAATTTCTGGGTAGCCCACGTGAATTTAGTCTGGTTCAGTCTGGTTTAGTCTGCAGTACCGCGAGAATCCCCTGAGCACGTGAGTTATTCAGCTACAAGCTAGTAATACCATATCCAGTTAATATAATACATCCATGGTTGTACCACAGTTCTGAACACACTGTGCCCCCTGCTGGCTGATCACAGACATTACTACAGTACCTTGCGAAAGTATTCGGCCCCCTTGAACCTTTCAACATTTCGCCACATTTCAGGCTTCAAACATAAAGATACAAAAATTTATTTTTTTGTCAAGAATCAACAACAAGTGGGACACAATCGTGAAGTGGAACGAAATTTATTGGATAATTTAAACTTTTTTAACAAATAAGAAACTGAAAAGTGGGGCGTGCAATATTATTCGGCCCCCTTGGGCTAATACTTTGTAGCACCACCTTTTGCTGCAATTACAGCTGCAAGTCGCTTGGGGTATGTCTCTATCAGTTTTGCACATCGAGAGACTGGAATTTTTTCCCATTCTTCCTTGCACAACAGCTTGAGCTCAGTGAGGTTGGATGGAGAGCGTTTGTGAACAGTGTCTTCAGCTCTTTCCACAGATTCTCTGCAGGTCTCTCAGGTCTCTGCACTGGCTTCCTGTGGCTCAGAGAATAGATTTTAAAGTAGCTTTACTTGTGTACAAGTCTCTCCATGGCCTCGCACCAGGGTACATCCGCGACATGTTGGTGCCATATGAACCAACTCGGGCTCTGAGGAGCACAGGGACTGGACTTCTGTTAGTGCCAAGAGTCGGAACTAGACATGGGGAGGCTGCGTTTCAGATTCATGCAGCTAGAGTCTGGAACCGTCTTCCCGAGAGTGTGAGACAGGCGTCTACTCTAGCAGTTTTTAAAACTGAACTGAAAACAGTTCTTTTTAGCTGTGCATACAAGTGAATGATTTTATATTTGTTTTTATCTTTAATCTTTTTAATGCGCTATGATTATTTATGATTATTTATGATTGTAATCCCTTGTGTGATTTTAATGTTTTACGGTTTTTAACTACTTGTGTGATTTTATATATCTTGTGCTCTTAATCTGTCTTTTTATGTTTACTTAAATTCTAATGTTTGATGATTTATGCATGATGTTATATGGGTTGTGAGGCGCTTTGCGTTGCCTTGTGTAGGAAAGGCGCTCTATAAATAAACGTTGATTGATTGATTGATTGATTCTCGATTGGATTCAGGTCTGGACTTTGACTTGGCCATTCTAACCCCTGGATACGTCTATTTGTGAACCATTCCATTGTAGATTTGGCTTTATGTTTTGGATCATTGTCCTGTTGGAAGATAAATCTCCGTCCCAGTCTCAGGTCTTTTGCAGACTCCAACAGGTTTTCTTCCAGAATGGTCCTGTATTTGGCTCCATCCAGCTTCCCATCAATTTTAGCCATCTTCCCTGTCCCTGCTGAAGAAAAGCAGGCCCAAACCATGATGCTGCCACCACCATGTTTGACAGTGGGGATGGTGTGTTCAGGGTGATGAGCTGTGTTGCTTTTACGCCAAACATATCGTTTTGCATTGTGGCCAAAAAGTTTGATTTTGGTTTCATCTGACCAGAGCACCTTCTTCCACATGTTTGGTGCGTCTCCCAGGTGGCTTGTGGCAAACTTTAAACAAGACTTTTTATGGATATCTTTGAGAAATGGCCACTCTTCCATAAAGGCCAGATTTGTGCAGTGCACGACTGATTGTTGTCCTATGGACAGACTCTCCCACCTAAGCTGTAGTTATCTGCAGTTCATCCAGAGTGATCATGGGCCTCTTGGCTGCATCTCTGATCAGTCTTCTCCTTGTTTGAGATGAAAGTTTGGAGGGACGGCCGGGTCTTGGTAGATTTGCAGTGGTCTGATACTCCTTCCATTTCAATATAATTGCTTGCACAGTGCTCCTTGAGATGTTTAAAGCTTGGGAAATCTTTTTGTATCCAAATCCGGCTTTAAACTTCTCCACAACAGTATCTCGGACCTGCCTGGTGTGTTCCTTTGTCTTCATGGTTCTCTCTCTGCTTTAAACAGAACCCTGAGACTATCAAAGAGCAGGTGCATTTATACGGAGACTTGATTACACTCTGGTCCATTCTAGTTATCATCATCAGTCATTTAGGACAACATTGGATCATTCTAAGATCCTCACTGAACTTCTGGAGTGAGTTTGCTGCACTGAAAGTAAAGGGGCCGAATAATATTGCACGCCCCACTTTTCAGTTTTTTATTTGTTAAAAAAGTTTAAATTATCCAATAAATTTCGTTCCACTTCACGATTGTGTCCCACTTGTTGTTGATTCATGACAAAAAATTAAAATTTTATATGTTTATGTTTGAAGCCTGAAATGTGGCGAAATGTTGAAAGGTTCAATGGGGGCTGAATACTTTCGCAAGGCACTGTATCTGCTCTCAAACTCGACACTTTTGTTTTCCAGGGAGCCAAGTAGTTCAGTGCCCTCCTCATGGTACTGGAAGTCGGCTCGCTAAAGTCATTTTGTAATATGTATATTTTAACACTAGAACTCCCAGAGCTGTCTTATTTAATACAATCATTCAAACCAATGGAATTCTGAGTAATTGCCCTGCATATTTTTACTTTTTGGACGGATGTATCAAAAGTAAGTAATGTACAAGGTTTTCTTTTTTTACCTTTACTCACTTTTACTAAGTGCTAAAACTGGTGCATTTCACTTGAAATTCAGCAAAAAGCAGTTTGTTAAAAGGCTAACCTAATGCTAATTGGTAGCAAGTGAAAATTATGTTGCTATGGTAACTAGTACTGGATATAAAAAGGTAGGAGTACTCTCATTTCAAAGTAAAAGATAATTCAATATAAATAATGATGTAGACATAAACTACAAATAGAGACAGAAAAAGTCACAGAGTTATAACGACCAACAATGCAGTAATTACAGTAATTACACTAGTAAGAGTGAACAGTGACAGTGATGCCTCTGTACCTGCGACGCCGATCTGATGCGTGGCGTATCCGGGCAGACGGTTCTCCCCCTCTCCCAGCCACAGACACATGACGGTGTGGTCGGCTTTAGCGTGATGGAAGGTGAAGCCGTGTGAGAAGGCAGCAGCGGCACAGCGACTCAGAGACACGGGGATCCTCAGCCACACAGCCACCTTCCCCTCTGTCCTCCACTGGGACAATGAGTCTGAGGACAACAAGGATGGACTCAGAATCTGCTGCTGATGCATTATGTTCACAAGCAAGTGTAATAAGGTATATACAATTCAATGTTCTGGTCGAGGTCTCTGTATACTTTGAAACTGCCACAAGCTTTTTGATATTTTTTCAATGTGTTTTTTAATTGCCCTAAATCACAACAGCAGATATCTCAGAGGACTTTACAAAGCTGTCGATTCACCAACACCAATAAGAGAATCAAACAGTTCAAACACAAGATATGCAATGATAAAAAAAAACACAAAGGTACATAGATCCATAAGGGCCAGAGATCAATGTCCATAAATGTTGTTGAATGTTGAGTCTCCCGGATTATCACCACTGTTAGACCCTCCTGCATCAGGGGAACAACTCTATAAACCCAGTGGGCTTGGTGAAATAAAGTGGGAAGTAAGAACTAGACACATTTATTCTAGTTCTGATTTAAAAATCATTCAAAACTTGCTCAAAGAATACCACTCTTGCCCCACACTTTGAGTTGAGCATAAAGTTTCGATACTAGTTTTAATCTAAATTTTAGTTTTGATTCATATCTGTTTTTTGATCATTTTGCTGGCCTCCTGCTGGGACTCTGAGGAGCACAGGAACTGGACTCCTGCTGGGACTCTGAGGAGCACAGGAACTGGACTCCTGCTGGGACTCTGAGGAGCACAGGGACTGGACTCCTGCTGGGACTCTGAGGAGCACAGGGACTGGCTTCCTGCTGAGACTCTGAGGAGCACAGGGACTGGCCTCCTGCTGGGACTCTGAGGATCACAGGGACTGGCCTCCTGCTGGGACTCTGAGGATCACAGGGACTGGCCTCCTGGTTGAGCCCAGAGTCGGGACTACACATGGGGAGGCAGCGTTTCAGATCTATGCAACTAAAATCTGTGGCTTCTTCTATGACTATGATCAAAACAAAAGTTCAGTTTATCATACAGCAATGATTGTATCTTCTCTATTTTTTGTTTACTGTGATTATTTATTTGATTTGATTTTAATGCCTTGTGTGATGTTAATGTTTATTTTCTTGTTTTGTTCAGCACTTGTACCTGTGCAATACAAATAAACCTGGCTCGCCTTGTCTAACTCTGGTCTGTTATCCAAGAGGAGTATGGTTAGGTAAGCAAGGGCATGCACCTGTTTTTGTCAACAACATGCTTCTTTTGTGTGAGAACTCGCCTTTTCCCCTGACATCACACACACATGGATCTATCACATCACTATCATCACATCTTCCACACTCTTACCCTGGAGTAGCCTGCTGAATGCGTCCTCGCTGACGTCCGCCGGGACTCTGCTGTCCGTCAGATCTACCGTGACCCCTCCGAAGCGATCCACCGAGCCGCCGAGCGCACCGGAGCCCTCCTCCTTCTGCAGCTGGGATCGGCCCCCGGTGCAGGAGAGCGCACGGACAGATCTGTGGAACATCCCCCCAAGCGCCTTCCCCAGGCTGCATCTCAGCACCAGCGCGGACATGGTGCTTTTAGGGTCGAAAATGGACGATATTAAACCAAAGTAGAGCTGCCTTGTGGAGCTAGGACAGTCATGAGGCAGTCAGATACATAACAGCGAACTTCCCAGCAGCTTTCGTCATTTACCGTAATAAAAAGTCTATAGTGCACGAGATTTTGTTTAACCTCCAGAATTCCAGTTATTTGAATGGAAGTCGTCAAAATGACTGCTCTGAAGCAGGGCTGGACTGGCCATCGGGCGTACCGGGCAATGCCAGAAGGGCCGATGCCCATATTTGGGCCGGTCTGTTTGCCTCATACAAAAAAGATGTTTGTGAAAAGTGTAAATCCGTTGAGAACTGTTCTAGGGGGCGTGCGTGTCCGCAGGCACCTGCTGTATGTACTCGAACGGGATTCCACCACCTCAGCGGCCCCAGTGTTCCCGCATCCAGCGGCTCTGAGCTGGATGCGGGAACCGCTCACCGGGAGCCGCTCACAACACAACACGGTGAGCGCGTAGCCGCAACGTGACCATACCCAAGACCATAAACGTGCACAGGACCATGCGTGTCTTTGCGTAATTTGTGCACCCAATAAATACACCGCTGCAGGAAACAGTCCGCGTCTCCCCTCTCCTCTCGAAGTGCGACTAAATTAAAGCTCGGGTGCCTAAATTTCCCATTGCATTAAAAGTTCATGTTTGAGCCCAAAAGTAAAATGTTGTGAAAAAATTAAACAGATTTAGAGCCAGCAAATGGCTGACATTATGCATTTCAGACTTTTTTGACCAATTCTCATCCCTGTAACAAACAACAGTGTTGTCTGTGTCCACCTCCCTCACTCTGAGACATGTTTATTACTCTCTTGTAATGTAGACTATTGCACTTTATTTTTTTGTTGAAACTGTAGACATCCTGATCCTCTACAGTATGCTTCCATATACTGTATAAACCAGGGGTCGGCAACCTTTAGTGCTCCTCCAGTGGCTCCTGGAGCCTTTTCAAAAATGTCTGAAAATGGAGTGGGAGGGCTATATTTTATTCCTAATTTGAATGTGGTTTCTGTAGGAGGAAAAACATTCCTAACGTATTTCAATGCTGTAAAAATGTGTATAAGTAATATTCAATTTCAACATTTCTGTCAACGTAGTGAGTCATATCCTGTGGCGCGGCCCCGCGGCAGACGGCCGCTGCTGTAAACAAACCAGCGTGTGCACACGGATCCCAAAGATAAAAAGAGAACGAGTCGATAATAAGACTGGACTAAGGATCAAGACTGAAAATTTGCTCTTAGTCAATGAGGAAGGACTGCTTCATGTTTGCGATGTAATGGGAAGTTTTGTTGCAACACGAGGAACAATGAAGCACTAAATACCGTTCACAGGGATTACGTGAAGGATTCTTTCATACAAAATCCGGAGCACCTTTTTCAGACTTCAAAAACCTCCGCAAAGACTGTGAAAGAAAAGGCCATTAAGGACATTCAGCTCCAGCAAACTTCAGCCTGTGACGTAATCGATATGAGCGGACAGTGCAGGTGTGTGACCTTTGAGCCAAAAAGCAGATTTATTTACTGTATTTCTACAGTTGCATGAAGGCAAAAAAATGGAAGTCAAAGTTAAAGCAGAGTCATCACGTGGTGCGTCATTCTACTCCAGGACACGCTGCAGTGAAAACACACATTTGACAATCATGAATGCTAATCATGTATTTGTAGCCTTTACTTGGTCATTTAGATAATAGGCTAATGTAGCTAATGTAGCTACATTGTGTAACCTTCATATAAGCTTTATACAAGGCTGTTATTTTTTTGCGGCTCCAGACAGATGTTTTTAGTATTTTTTGTCAAATATGGCTCTTTGAACCTTTTGAGTTGCCGATCCCTGGTATAAACAAACTGTAAAAAACAAAAACATGCCTGGGCCGGTAAGAAGGAAAAAATGCCCGGGCCGTTTTTTTGTCCCAGTCCAGCCCTGCTCTGAAGGTCCTGGTGTTTTAAATTTTAAAATTAACGTTTTAATGCTTTTTTTTAGTATTTTATTGTTTCAATGCATACATCTTTTAATTGGTTTTATGAGTTTTTATTGAAAAGCACATTGTTCGCCTTGAGTGTTGTAAAAGGCTTTGTACATAAAATGTATTGATTGCTAAAGGCAAGCACGTTTCACAACCTAAAAAAAAATAAATTATTGTATTACGTTGTTTTTTGTAATCGTCACATGATTTCTAAGAAAATACTCAGTAGTAATAACATATTAAGTTTGTAAAGACTAAAGGAAAACATCGAATTAATAACTATCTATACTGTATACGCTAAAGCTGACTCAGGCTAAACTTAATTAAATGAAACGACTAAAACCCATGGATCTGTAATAATAACACATTTGCATTGGAAGTATATTTTTTAGATTCTTGGTGAGTTTACGGTAATAGTGGGCGGAGCTTCAGCTTAAACCCGGAAGTGTAAGACCAAAACACACGACACATGCTAGCACTGTCCGCGGCTTCACGTGGGGACTGTTTCTCCTTCAAACATGTCTTCAACGAAAGGGAAAGGGAAAGGGAAGTCCAAGAGACCCAGTGAAGGGGACAGTTCTGCGGGGGGACTGCTGCTGGACCCGGCCTCTCACGGCTCTCCAGCGCCGAGCTCCAGAAACGCCAACCTCTTCACTGTCACCGACTTCATTGAGAAAAGTACGAGCGTGGAAGTGTCATTAAAGTGATCTTATCGTTACCATAGCAACACACTGTTTACTTACAGCACTTAGCATTTGGTAGCCTTTTAACAAACCGTTTATTGTCATCACTTTTAGAACTTATTGAATGGGAGTGAAGGTAAAAATAAACCTCAATTTTCTTAGAATTCTATTGGTTTGAATGGGAGCAGTCAAAATGACGGTCTGGGAGTTCTAGTAGCTATATATTCAGAATTCTGGGAGTCCTAGTGTTAAGTATGAATCCAAAACTAGCGCGATGTCCAGGGTTCGAGTCCACCTCAAGGCCTTTCTGAATGTTCTCCCCATGTCTGCTTTGGTTTTCCACCTGGTGCTCCGGTTTCCTCTACCTCTTAAAACATGTGCAATAGCTCCTCCCCAACCTATCTCTCTGAGGTCAGAACCCCTTTGAAAAGAGATTCTGAAATCCCAGTGGGACTGTCCTGTTTAAATAAAGGTCATTCATTTTGAACATTTTTAATCCAATAATATGGAGAAAACTTTATGATTACTCTTATTTGACCTGTGCACTCCTACTGAGATTGAGATGAGTATTTTTCATGTAAGCCCCAGTACAAAGGGTCGACAATTTACCACCACATTTAAGGCAACAAAGAAGCACCAATAGATTTAAACTATAATTGTTGTATAGTAAAAGAACAAAAAGATGTATCTTATAGTGAGACTTATGAACCATTGAAGTCTCTGATAGATGATTGTGTTCATGTGTTTTACTCCCAGAGGATGACAGAACTCCTAAAAGCTGCAGGTCATGGCTCGCTCAAATGAGTCTTCAGTCCATGAAAGCAGCCAAAGTGTGTATCGGGAGACCTGTGCTGCTGACGAGCTCTCTGGGACAAGAGGTAACCTCTACTGTACTTTAATCATGCATCTTAGAAGGTCCTTTATTCGTCCCACAATAGGGAAATATCAGTTTGATGCATACACATACACATAAACATATACTTATACTTATACACATCAAGGCAAGCAGCGAACTCCCTTTTTTGTTTCTATCCATGCCAAATGTGACATGTAAATTTCTATTCCTTGTGAGATAAATAAAGCATATCTTATCTTATCTTATCACTTCCGCGCTCCTCATAGGCAAAGTGTCTTGCCCAAGAACACAATGACAGCAGACATCAGTGGGAGTCTGCATTAGAGCATCAGAGCCATTTACTTCATTCAAACATGTGAATATGTGTGATCATGTATATCTGGCCTGTGTCACATCTGTAGATCAGCTTTTTCAGTCAAAAAGGTGAAAAAAAGAGGACCACTCTCACTCAGCCAATCAGCTAACTTTGAAACTACCAAAGGAGATGTGTTTTATGGTTTTAAGTTATAACTGACGGTGGGAGTAAGACATACATAAACATAAGTGGGGTATTGTCAATGTTGTCATGCATAGTACAAAACAGTACCAATAGGAGAACACACAAATCAAATGACTCAAAGCTGGATCGCTATGTAAGAAACTGTAATGTGTGTAATGTGAGTGAGTAATGGGGAAAAAACAAATATCACGACCAAAGCTGTGGAAATGTTAAACACATCAAAAGTTTAGATCAAAATGTTTTGTTCACTAGACTTGTCCAGGGGCCGACAACTGGGATAGTGTACTGAAAAATGCTTTAAAATGAGGTTTGACATCATCCTTTAGCGCCATATACAGTATTTTGAGCCACAATCACAAAGAAATATCGGAGGGAGGGTGGAGTCCTCTCAGAAATGTGTCTTATTTCTTGCGGGCCGTAGCCAGTGGACGTCTGTCTTTTGTCGACTGCGTCTCCACTTCTTCTGAGGGTTGTGTGGAGCGTGGTCCTCCTGAGGGTCCTGGATCTGCTGCTTGGAGGGATTGTTCAGTTCATACTGTACTTAAGGCGTTGGTTCTCGTTCAGGGACCTTCCTGCCAGTGCCTTTGCCTCCTTGCATTTCAAGATCTCCTCCGCCATTTCTGCAATAACAACGTTTTTCAGGACAAAGTTCTCTTTAAACTCCTCCATCTCTTTCTGAGACCTGAGCAGTTTTTCCTTCAGCTCATAAATACCTTTCCTCAGATGCATCTCCTGGTCCTGCATCTTGGTCTCCAGATCCTCAATCATCTAGTCTTGACGAGAGTTCATTACTTCTGATGTGTTCATGTTTTCTTCTTAAACTCTTGAGAGATCTGTTTCCAAACCTTTCATGATGGAGTCTTTTCGTCGCCTCTCCTCTTCAGAATGCTTCTCCAAAGTCCTCAGAGTCTGTTGTACGGACTGCAGTGCTCTTTTAGTACTTTGTAACCTAAAGCTGGGCTCTTTTATACAAAATAATAAATTTGTTTTTATACTAAAGAAATCCAATCCATAACACATTCTTTCTATTAATGCTGACTAAGCCAGACACCAAAGGTTCCTGATCCCTGCATTAGAGTATACCGGTTTATACATACATTTATTTTATGTTTAAAGTATAGAGTTGTGTTTGTGCTGTGTGCTCCTCATTCTCTTCTGTCACTTGTGATGCAGCGATCACTTCTTATTATTTTGTGACCAGAATAATCCTCCTTCTGTGTTGGCCTGAAAGCATGGACTGATAAAAGTGTGTGGTGTGCAGGTGTGCTTGGCCTGGCCTGTGGCCCCGTTCCCTGGTGGAAAAGTGGGTCTGCAGAAGAGCGCTGGGACCAACCTGAAGCTGAAGGCTGGAGAGCAGGTTCTGGTGGAGCCAGTGAGCGGACCCCTGCTGCAGGCCACAGAGGTGCTCGTCTCCAGCAGGTAACACCTCTCTGTAAAACATATGAGGTAATGATCGCCTGAAACGACTGGTTTTTATCTTAATCTGAGTACATTCTGACACATATGACTGTTCTGACTGTCTTGATTTGCAGATGGGACAAAGCCGTTGTTTAATTTTCTTCTTCCAAGGGAGACATTTCTTCTTTAGTAAAAACAAGATAATTGGAAAATCTTGTTTTAAGGCAGTCAGAATGTGCTCAAATTAAGATACATTTTGTTAAATTTGAGCAATAGGGACTTATTTTTCATCACTTTTTGCAGTGCTCGTCTCACACAATCAGAGAGAGAAACGACATTTCTTCATATTTATTAACTTTTATGGAAATTGGTGGCAGGACGGATGTGTTAGCGATTATTTCATTGAATGTGTTTATTTATTTTAAACATGCACGATGCACATTAACAGGAAAAAAATGATAATAAAAGTAAATAAGAGGACCTGTGCATGCTTTGAAAAAGGATTATCTGAAGCAAAAAGCTTACGATAATACAATCCCCTCCCATCATTATGACACACACAATACACTACTATACAAAACACAAATCATTCCCCTACAGCAACCTTCAACACAACACATGACAGAAATATGACACACATGCATTTATCCAACACCATCCCTCCATTTTCTACCCTTTAATCCATTTCTGGGTCAGGGGGGTGGCAATCAGAGATGCCACCCAAGTCTCATAGCACCAGCCCCTCACTGACCCTCTGCAGGTGGTGAGTCCACAGGAGGACGGCTGCTCTCTGAGTGTGAGCATAGCCTTGATCTTTCAGTGGGGGCTTTTGGGCAAAGTGGGGTTAAGTGTCTTGCCCAAGGACACAACAGGTGTAGAGGTGGGAATTGAACCCACGACCTTCAGGCCTTAAGGCCAATGCTCTACCAACTGAGCTACTGTGATTTGATGTTTATCCAACACGACTATAGATAATCTTATCTCCCCACATCACATCATCCTTTTGCATTTTTATTGTTAGAGACTGCCATCTGCTGACAACAACATGTTACTGCACACACTGCCTTTCTCCTGTCTGTTCCAGGTCAAAGGATGACAAACTGGACACAGATGATTTCAAGAACTTTTTCCTGAGAACATTCGGTAAGTCTGTCTTTTCTTAAACATTTATATATTTGATCCCAGGATTCAGTGTCCTCTGTGATTATCCTCATTTAGGATTGTCATAGTTTAAAGATGCTACTGTGATGCAATATTTTCTTAGGTCTTAGTATGGTATGAGCAGTTTGAGCATCCCCACAATGTACCAGCATTAATGGGATTTCAAAGATCCAAATAACCATCACGAATGAACCAAAACAGTGAATGACTTGTCACCTGGATGCAAGTGTAGATATTTGGATGGGTTTTTTGTTTTCCCCAGATGGAAACGTCATTCTTCCCGGTAACGCAGTCTCTCTGAGTTACTTCGGTCGCTCCTGCAGTCTGCGAATCGAGAGAATCTGCGGCGAGGACGGTGTGACCCTCCAGAGACCTGCTCCTCCTCTGGGACAGGACCCCGAGGTTTGGAACCGCTGCCATAAACATATGACATTTAACAACTGTTCTAGTAAAATGAGATTAACCTTTATGCGTCTTCAGTGGAAATGTCAATGTCCTCGTTTTAAGGCAGAATAAAAGGAGAAATGTAAGAGTGCTCAGGTTAGGCACACATCAGGATGATAAAATAATGAATTGTGGAGTTTACTCTAGAGTCAGCAGGAAGTATTTGCAGATGTTTTTATTTGCACTTTAGCAGCACAGAATATGACCAGAATAAACAATAGGAAAAAGACAAAGTGGGGTTAAGTGTCTTGCCCAGGGACACAACCACAGCAGACCTCAGTGGGAGTCGGTCTCGTGGCGGGATCGAACCCATGGCCGTTGGACTTGAAGGCCAATCCTCAGCCATATTCTTCATAGAATAATGACGGTGGCCCGGCGGTTAGAGCTTGTTTTTCACAGCAAGAAGGTCCTGTGTTCGATTCCACCTCCAGACCTTTCTGTGTGGAGTTTGCATGTTCTCCCCGTGTCTGTGTAGGTTTCCTCAGGGTGCGCGGGTTTCCCCTACCACTAAACTAAATTAAGTTTGAATGGAGTGAGTGAGTGAATGGACGGTGTCGGAGGCTTTGATGCTCCGGTGTGTTCGGCGTCTCGCTTCTGTCGTCATCGTGTGGAGAGAACGGAACAATATCTCAACTCTGAACATTGTAAAGCGCTTTGGGTGACCTTGGGCTGTAGGAGCTGCCACCCAATTGGGCTGTATAAATAAAAATTACTTACTTACTTACTGCACATGTTAAACTCCGACAAATCTGTTGTACGGTCTCAGAGCCGGAGGGACATCTATTTTATGACATATGAATATAAATACATAGTGTGGCTTTTGCTTATCAATCTGGTGGAATAAAGCTGATACATTTTCAATATCCAAATATAGGAAACACATTCTTCTGGTAATACATTTCAACAGAAAATGACAAAATAACACACTTCAAAACCTCAAAGTGCTACAGATTAAAAGACAATAAAAACAAAACACAAAAAAAAGTATTGATTCTTCTGTTTCAGGCAGACGAGTCCTCCGTGGACCCCCCAGAGCTGGACTCCACCGCCGCTGACCTGTCCCTCCACATGAGCTCGCTCACTGTGGACGAGGACGAGCTCCGCACCCCCTCCTCCAGCGGGGACCCCCACCCCAGCGCCAGCACCCCCCGTCGCACCGCCCCCCTCCTGTCTCTGTCCTCCCCGGCCTCCTACATTTCCCAGAATGCAGCTGTGGAAGCCCAGGACAGCCCTCTGCAGCCTGACAGAGCTGAGATGTGTCCGACAGCGCCCCCCGGTGGCGTCTCCAGCACGGACACTTTCTACTGCTTCTCCAGCTCCACCACAGTGAGCTTCAGGGACAGGACCTCTCACAGTGACGCAGACGAGCCCTCCAAAAGACCAAAAGTCAGTTACAGTATGATCGGCGGGCTCAGCGACCAGTTAGACGTCATCAGGGAGACCATAGAGCTTCCGTTAAAGAATCCAGACCTTTTCTCCAACTATGGTGCGTTTCTTTCTGCCCATTCAAAAAGCACCACTATTTTGGTGTTTGTGTGAAATGCTCTATCTTCTATCATGGCAGGTATCGAGCCCCCGCGAGGAGTTCTGCTCTACGGGCCCCCAGGAACAGGGAAAACCATGATAGCCAGAGCCATCGCCAATGAAGTGGGAGCTCATATGACTGTGATAAACGGACCAGAGATTATGAGCAAGTAAGAGGTTTAGCCGTAGATGATCTCACCTGCTTTGAATGTCATCTGTCAATTGATTGGTTTAAAATAAGTTTAATTAAATGTACACACACAGAGTTGTGATGAAAATGTAGGTATTTGTGCAATAATATTTTGAATAATGTCAGAAATAATGCAATGTAGAACCACATGTGTCCCCTCCTTTTACTGCCATCTGCTAACATGTACAGGTGTATACATATACAGGTGTAAACATGTACAGGTGTAAACATACAACTAACTATATATATATTTCTGCACAAGAATATACACTGTTTTATACTTGCTTCTTCTTTATTATGCTAAAGTTAGACTTTTTTATTTAATTTAAACATAAGAGTTATTTTTCATTAATCAAGATACAATTCCACACAGTGTTCATCTGACCAGGACCGGCTATTAAAACAGTTCTTGTGCGTTCAGCTTCTTCAGCTCAAAAATTCCAGGGAGGCAAATAGTGACAGGATGCTCATTATTATATATAACTCTTAGATTCTTTCTGTTGGACAAACCATACATTATTTATGACCAAAAAAAAGTTGACGGCCCCTGCTAACTTCACAATCATACTGGCATCAACTAAGATTGTGTGTCTGTAAAATGAATGCATATACTGATAACAAACAAACTGTAAAATTAGTATCTTTTATCTCCAGATTCTACGGTGAGACTGAAGCGCGACTCCGGCAGATCTTTCTGGAAGCTTCTCAAAGGTTTACACTATTTCACATTTTAACCAAGTATTCGATATTGCCCATTGTCATTTGGTGTATGCGACCACTGACCATCTGTCTTTGTTTATGATGAAATATAATTAACCTAAATGCAATTATAAACAGTAGGGATGTAAAAAACTATGAATTTTCATGACCGACCACCGAGCCTCATTAACCGGTTGAAACCGGTTAACCGCGTAGTTTAAAATAGTCCACGTTCTTTGAAATAACAGCCATTTCGAGCCGCGTACTTTTCATAAGAGCAGCTCTGCGTTCTACTGGATCAGAGTTGAGACAGCGGCGCCCAAACCCGCAACAGCTCCGGCACCTTTGCGCACAGAGAACTGCTTTTTTAATCTTCCCATTCTGCTGTGCTGCGGGTTAATACCAAAACTTTCTAGCAGCAAACGACGGCTCGTTCACATGGTCAGAGCAGCGAGTGACGAGCCGCGTCTCACAGGTCTTCACAAAAGTTTAAATACAAGTGATGTGTGTGGAGCTGATCCCGAGGACCATAAACACAAACATGTCCCATGTGGTTTGACTGAAGCCGCGTATCTGCGCGAATCCTTTGGGCTCCGTGACACAGAGGAGCGCGACAGACCGGTATGTGTGTGTGTGTGTATGTGTGTGTATGTATGTGTGTGTATATGTGTGTGTGTGTAAATGTAAGCTCCAATGTAGTTCTGACCCGCGCCAGTGTGCAACTTTGACGGTAACAGAGGGGAGAGATGATGCGTGTGGATGTTACGTATGGAGAGGGGGAAAGTGTGTGTGTGTGTGTGTGTGCGCGCGTGCGTGTGTGTGTGCATATGTGGCTCGTGCGGCGTGAGAGTCGTCCCGGAGTTTATAATACATGAGCGCACACAGCTAGATACAGACCCACTCGTCACACCGTGCAAATAGGGCTTAAAATAGCGTTATTAAGAGACCTCCCCTCTCCCCTTTTTCTCTTTTTTAACCGACAGCTTTGACCGGTTAACGCTGTGACGGTCAACCACCGGTTAACCGGTCGCCGATTTACATCCCTAATAAACAGAGAGATACAAATCACTGCTGTATTCAGTAGAAATGAGTCACAAATATTTATTGTGTTCTTGACCTGTGGTAGTGTTCGCTCTGTACGAATACTGAATATGCATGTGGTCTTTTAAAAAGTTAGTATCCTGTCAGACCTCTGAAGCTAAGCAGGGCAGGGCCTGGTTAGTACTGTGATGGGAAACTTCTGGGAACACCAGGTGCTACAGTGGGGTGGCTGTAAAAGTGCCAAATTTATGAAAACTTGTCCAGTGTCCAGGCAAGACACTTCACCCACAATAGAAACTAGTCTGTGTGTGTGTGTGTGAATGGTGGGTGGTAGTGAAACATACGGGCTGCCTCACTTCTGTCCGTGTGCCCCAGGGCAGCTGTGGCTACAGTAGAAGTTTGTAGTGAAATGAATAATGAAGTGAAGTGAAGTGTGTTTTATTGTCCAAAACAGTGCTGTAGAAAACTGATTTATTGTTATTATTTAGTATTGATGTATCCTCGGATGTCTCCTCTCTCTGGTGGATGTCTCCTCTCTCTGGTGGATGTCTCCTCTCTCTGGTGGATGTCTCCTCTCTCTGGTGGATGCCTCCACTCTCTGGTGGATGTCTCCTCTCTCTGGTGGATCTCTCCTCTCTCTGGTGGATCTCTCCTCTCTCTGGTGGATGTCTCCTCTCTCTGGTGGATGTCTCCTCTCTCTGGTGGATGTCTCCTCTCTCTGGTGGATCTCTCCTCTCTCTGGTGGATCTCTCCTCTCTCTGGTGGATGTCTCCTCTCTCTGGTGGATGTCTCCTCTCTCTGGTGGATGTCTCCTCTCTCTGGTGGATGTCTCCTCTCTCTGGTGGATCTCTCCTCTCTCTGGTGGATGTCTCCTCTCTCTGGTGGATGTCTCCTCTTTCTGGTGGATGTCTCCTCTCTCTGATTGATGTCTCCTCTTTCTGGTGGATGTCTCCTCTCCCTGGTACAGACGGCCGGCCATAATCTTCATTGATGAACTGGACGCTCTTTGTCCGAAGAGAGAAGGAGCACAGAATGAAGTGGAGAAAAGAGTGGTGGCCTCTCTGCTCACTCTCATGGATGGCATCGGCTCGGTAAATACACTTCTCTCCCTCTGTCTTTTCAACGCTGTCGGGCAGTAGTTATATTTAGTGGAATAAAATAACAGGCGTTCTGCACAAGTATTAGAACACACTATGTGGAACCCCCTTCTGCGGCAATCACAGCAGAGAGTTTTTTAAGGTATATCTACAATCTTTGCAGTCTTTCCAAAGACTGACAGAGCCTTTCTTGATCTTTCCAAGGATTTCCAATTGAAATTAGATCTGGGCTATTGTTTCTTTTTAACCTTTGGATTGTAGCTCTGGCTTCATGTTTAGGGTCATTGCTGCTGGAAGGTGAGTCTCTTCATGTATCATTCTGCTTTCACTTCAGAGTCTTACTTTGTTGTCCTCCTTAAAAAAAATCTTAAATAAAGTCTTAGTTTGTGGTCGTTAATGGGACAGACTGTTCCAAAGTTGAAGCCAGAGTAAGTAGCAAGATGAATTTACCTTGATATGTTTAATGTAACGATTAAATCTACATGATTTCAAAGACACGTGTGTTGGACTGATGAAAGTAACAGCTGCACAGTTCTCTCCTGTCGTCAGAGGAGCGTCTTCAGTTTCAGACTTGACAGAAACAGTGTTTGCTGAAAGAACTCGACCTGCTTTTGGTTTGGACTACCTGAACGACAGATCACACAGACATCCGCAGTGCTGCTATTTGAAAAGCAGACGCAGAGACAGGAAGCCATCGTTGCTGGAGTGGTTTCAGACTGGCTTTGTTAATCCCTTTATCCAAACTTTCCTGCTACAGCTCTCTGACAGAAACATGGCTTCCCTTGGAGCTGATGGCAACAGCTGGAGTCTAGATCGCTTTGACCTGCGGTAGACGTGCGAGACACTTCTTAGGCTTGGGCAGTTATTGGAATTATGTAACAAAGAAAAATACATGTATAATTCACATCATTACTCCCATTCTTCAATCCCTGCGCTTGCTCCTTGTATAGTTTAGAATTAATTCTTATTATTGTTTTTAAAGGTTTTTATAGAATGGCACCTTATTCATTAGAGCTCCTCCAGCTCCACCTTCCTCCAGGGCACTACATTCTGCGGGATCAGGACCTTCTCATTGGAGACGGACTTTTTGGTTTAATGTTTACATCCATTTACTTATGTTTGTATGTTTGTGTGCCTTAAGCACTGTGTTTAAGGCTTAGAAGGTTCTTTTAATTAAACAAAAATGTATAGAAGCTAGTACTGCTTAATTACACCACACGATTGATTGATTTACTCTTGACTTTAATGCAAAAAGCAGGGGACAAAAAATAGAAAATATTGATTTATACAGCACATTTTCTGCAAAAACAGATTCATTTGACTCATGAAACCGTGAGATTGCTGAGGTCTGAGGATCTGAGACTGTGCACTGGTTTATAAGGCACAAGCAAACCAGAAATAAATATCGTCAGATTGTGAAGGGTTCATAATATACAAGCCTTTTTTGTGCCTGAATTAGCAGCCAACAAAGATCTATTCTCCTTATAGGCCTGCAAATATATATAAAATCCTAATACAAATAAGGAGATAAGTTAAGATTTTAGAAGCCACAAATACTATATTGGTTGTTAAAATGTGATGATAAAGTTTGACTCTTGATTAAGGTTTTGTCTTTTGGTCTTGTTGCCATGGATACATTCAGCGTTTTGTTGTATTGAAATAATTGTATGTATATTGTGTGTGCATTTCCTAAGCTTGTCAATAGTAATTGGTTCCTGGCATTCCCCTTTTGACATTCCTCATGCAACTGTAATTTCATAGCATTCTTCAGTTCTCCCGGTGGTATTGCGATCTGGGAGACATATTCTTCCATCTTGCTGCCAGGCCATGCTAACACACTCTGCACTGACTTCATCAAATCATGACCAAAACATGAAGTGTGGTTTTAGCTTCATGGCGATAATAAAACAACAACTATAATTAGCACTTTGTCCCGGGCTGCGTTCGAGGTAGTGTGTTGAATTTCATAGCATCCGCGATGAGGTTGCAGATTTCAGCTGTCAGTCTGCTGTTTGCTTTGCCAAAACCCACTTCCTCTGTAATTACAGAGCAGAGAGAATACTTCTGTAGTCATGTGGCTGCACAGAACACAGGAGAGCAAACACAGAGGCCTGACAGAGCCTCATCTCAGAGCTTCATACTCTATTGACCTGTTTGAATGAAAAAGCCTAGACATCTTATTACTTTTCCGTCACTGTTTATAGAACTACAAGCTGAAGCTTACACATTTACATTCAAGTGAGTGACTCCCCCTTGTGGGCGACACGTGGTGCGACTCTCACATGAAGTGAGCTCCCACCATCACTTACACTTTTTTGTGACTCTATAGTCTGTTGTATGTGAAAAATGTAACAGATAATTGTCTGATTAAATATTGCAATACTTTGCTCGACTGTATTGATTAAATTGCGTGCGCAAAATATCGTGATACTGAACAGAATACATTTTCCTTTAACTTTTACTTCCCATGCTCCGGTTTATTCCTGGTGCTCAAGTTTCCTTGACCACTAAAACTATGCATATTAGGTGTGAATAGGTGTGAGAATTGTTGGTGGTGGTTTTAGGGGGGCTGCTGACGCCGGTTTCTCAGACCTGTGTGTTGGTCTGCCACGAGGCAGCTGTGACTAAAAAGTGGCTTACCATCACTGTGTGTGGAGAAAATGAATGATGCACAACATTGTAAAGTGACTTTGAGACACTGTCTGCTAAAAACACACGTAACCTTTGTTTAGGACACTATCTTCAACTCTAATTGGTGTTTGGTACGTTCCATAACATTTGTTCGAACTGCACTCAGCTGCAAGATCATGGGCAAAGGACTCCCTCTGATCCATACCCTCTGATCCATACCCTCTGATCCATACCCTCTGATCCATACCCTCTGATCCATACCCGCTGTTCCATACCCTCTGATCCATACCCTCTGATCCATACCCTCTGATCCATACCCGCTGTTCCATACCCTCTGATCCAAACCCTCTGATCCACACCCTCTGATCCATACCCTCTGATCCATACCCTCTGATCCATACTCTCTGATCCATACCCTCTGATCCACACCCTCTGATCCATACCCTCTGATCCATACCCTCTGATCCATACCCTCTGATCCATACCCTCTGATCCATACTCTCTGATCCATACCCTCTGATCCATACTCTCTGATCCATACCCTCTGATCCATACCCTCTGATCCATACCCGCTGTTCCATACCCTCTGATCCATACCCTCTGATCCATACCCTCTGATCCATACCCTCTGATCCATACCCTCTGATCCATACCCTCTGATCCATACCCGCTGTTCCATACCCTCTGATCCATACCCTCTGATCCATACTCTCTGATCCATACTCTCTGATCCATACCCTCTGATCCATACTCTCTGAACCATACCCTCTGATCCATACCCTCTGATCCATACTCTCTGATCCATACCCTCTGATCCATACCCTCTGATCCATACTCTGATCCATACTCTCTGATCCATACTCTCTGATCCATACCCTCTGATCCATACTCTCTGAACCATTCCCTCTGATCCATACCCTCTGATCCATACCCTCTGTTCCATACACTTTGAACCATACACTTTGAACCACACCGTGAGAACCATTCCCTGAGAACCATCTTACCCTGGGTCTGTATTTGTCCTGTGCTTCAGGAAGAACACTCGGGTCAGCTGTTGGTTCTTGGAGCCACAAATCGCCCACACGCCCTGGACCCAGCTCTCCGTCGACCTGGGCGCTTTGATAAAGAATTAGAGGTTTGTGTAAAACATTTTTTCAACTAATCAAACAAGTACAGCTAAAATGAGTGCAATGCCTTTGTCAGAGGCGAGGGTTACGAAATTATTAATTGTATAGTACATGTAACTAATTAATCTACTATAGTTACATGTTTTAGTGTCAATCCGTCTTTTGTCAGGAATTCTATTGGACAAATTCTGCACTAAACCTGACTTAAAATCAGCAAAACCAAATAGTAATGTCCAAAATAAGCCAAGACGTAACTTCTGGCACATATATGTTCATTAAGCTGGGGTTCCCCTGTGCTCAGGTGGGGGTCCCTGGTGCTGCAGAACGAGCTGACATCCTGCACAAGTTGCTGTGTGTGGTTCCTCACGACGCCTCGATGGAGGAGCTGAGGCGGCTGGCAGAGAGCGCACACGGATATGTGGGAGCAGACCTGGCAGCGGTCTGTAAGGAGGCCGGTATGTACACAGTTTATCCATTTTTCCATTACCGGGTTTGGGGGGTTTGCAATCAGAGCTGCCACTCAATTCACAGAGCACCAGGTCCTCAGTCATCCTCCTGCAGGTGGTGGTCCTCTCTGGTCCTGCTGCAGGTGGGGAGTCCACAGATAGCCTTGATCTTTCAATGGGGGTTCCAGGCAAAGTGGGGTTAAGTGTATTCCAGAGGTACACAGCAACAGTAAGAGTAGGTGGAGTAGGTCTCGTAGGGGGATCGTACTCACCCGGCCCATAGACCAAAGCACTACCAACTGATACGCTGTCGCCCCTAGACCATTTTTTTCCCTTTCCAAATCTGTCTCATATGATCATTTCGCCTTGTTACCATTATTTGTCCTTGTTTATCCCCATTTTTGTCAAAGCCAGCACAAGTTCACAATTGATCTAAAGGCCTTAAACTTTACATAGACAAAGCTTTTTTTTTATTCAAACAACCATTTCTTTATAGCTATCTCTATGAATATGTTCTCTGGGCATCACTTGAAATTGTTTTTTGTCAAATGCATAAAAAAAATCACTGACCTTTTGTGATCTAAACTATAAATCATTATAATAATCAACCAAATAATGGATTATCATTGATATTTATTTTACCATTATATATTCAATTCAATGTGTTCGCAATACTTGCTTTATCACAATATGTTAAGAATCGCGACATTTGGGCCACAATTCAAAACAACTGCAATACCATCACATTTTTGCTAATTCCCACCCCTAGAATATCCCAAAATAGCAACAGTAAGTGCTAGAAATGTTGATTCGCCAACAGCAGATCAGAAAATCATTGGTCATTGGTCAATAAATATGCTTTTCAGCTTTTTCCACCAAAATAATTACCGTAACACAATGTGAGCAGACCAAATCCTATAAACCAACAAATGCAACAAAGGCATATTTCTCCCATTTGATTGTGGTTGTTTTGAGTTGGTGTTCTCAGACAAAGGGACACATCTCATTCCCTTTGAACAGCACTGGTCTCCCGCTCTCGGTCGTTGTCCTGGAGGAAGTTTGTTTTATGTGTTAGCTACAGAGAAAACCCTCAAACCAGCCTCTTGTGAGATTCCTTCCACTGCCCCCTTTACCCCTGACCCACTCCCCGCTCCCCCCCCCGACCTTTCCCCACACAGAGAGCGGTTGCGTGTGTGCATCTTGTTGGATGTGGATGTGAACACAAGGGTCCAAGGGAAATGTTCAGCAGGCGATTGTACTTAGCGTCATTTACCAGAATAGGTTTTAGTCTGACTTCTGTTTCCAAGTCTATGTCACTGAATGTGTCTAAAGAGCCTGCTCTTGTAACCTACACAAGGCACCACGAAGCGCCTCACAACCCATATCATCATGCATAAATCAGGACTGAAGCTGTAGATCCAGGTCTGAGGCTGTAGATCCAGGACTGAGGCTGTAGATCCAGGACTGAGGCTGTAGATCCAGGACTGAGGCTGTAGATCCAGGACTGAGGCTGTAGATCCAGGACTGAGGCTGTAGATCCAGGACTGAGGCTGTAGATCCAGGACTGAGGCTGTAGATCCAGGACTGAGGCTGTAGATCCAGGACTGAGGCTGTAGATCCAGGACTGAGGCTGTAGATCCAGGACTGAGGCTGTAGATCCAGGACTGAGGCTGTAGATCCAGGACTGAGGCTGTAGATCCAGGACTGAGGCTGTAGATCCAGGACTGAGGCTGTAGATCCAGGACTGAGGCTGTAGATCCAGGACTGAGGCTGTAGATCCAGGACTGAGGCTGTAGATCCAGGACTGAGGCTGTAGATCCAGGACTGAGGCTGTAGATCCAGGACTGAGGCTGTAGATCCAAGACTGAGGCTGTAGATCCAGGACTGAGGCTGTAGATCCAGGACTGAGGCTGTAGATCCAGGACTGAGGCTGTAGATCCAGGACTGAGGCTGTAGATCCAGGACTGAGGCTGTAGATCCAGGACTGAGGCTGTAGATCCAGGACTGAGGCTGTAGATCCAGGACTGAGGCTGTAGATCCAGGACTGAGGCCGTAGATCCAGGACTGAGGCTGTAGATCCAGGACTGAGGCTGTAGATCCAGGACTGAGGCTGTAGATCCAAGACTGAGGCTGTAGATCCAGGACTGAGGCTGTAGATCCAGGACTGAGGCTGTAGATCCAGGACTGAGGCTGTAGATCCAGGACTGAGGCTGTAGCTCCAGGTCTGAGGTTGCAGATCCAGGACTCAGGCTGTAGACCCAGGACTCAGGCTGTAGACCCAGGACTCAGGCTGTAGACCCAGGACTCAGGCTGTAGACCCAGGACTGAAGCTGTATATCCAGGACTGAGGCTGTAGATCCAGAACTGAGGCTGTCCAGGACTGAGACTGTAGATCCAGGACTGAGGCTGTAGATCCAGGTCTGAGGCTGTAGATCCAGGACTGAGGTTGCAGATCCAGGACTGAGGCTGTAGACCCAGGACTGAAGCTGTAGATCCAGGACTGAGACTGTAGATCCAGGACTGAGGCTGTAGATCCAGGACTGAGGCTGTAGATCCAGGACTGAGGCTGTAGGTCCAGGACTGAGGCTGTAGGTCCAGGACTGAGGCTGTAGATCCAGGACTGAGGCTGTAGATTCAGGACTGAGGTTGCAGATCCAGGACTCAGGCTGTAGACCCAGGACTCAGACTGTAGACCCAGGACTCAAGTTGTAGATCCAGGACTGAGGCTGTAGATCCAGGACTGAGGCTGTAGATTCAGGACTGAGGCTGTAGATCCAGGACTGAGGCTGTAGATCCAGGACTGAGGTTGTAGCTCGAGGTCTGAGGTTGCAGATCCAGGACTCAGGCTGTAGACCCAGGACTCAGGCTGTAGACCCAGGACTCAGGCTGTAGACCCAGGACTGAAGCTGTAGATCCAGGACTGAGGCTGTAGATCCAGAACTGAGGCTGTCCAGGACTGAGACTGTAGATCCAGGACTGAGGCTGTAGATCCAGAACTGAGGCTGTAGACCCAGAACTGAGGCGGTTCCCAGGCTGGATGGAGGTGAGTTCACAGGTGCAGGTTGAAGATGCAGGGTTCTAGGGTCCCATCCTTATCAACCAAACTCATTACATTTAACATGTTTTTTTTTTGCCCATTTTGAGCAGCATAGATACAGTCCTGTTGAACAATAATTATCAAAGTCAAATTACAATTCTAGCTATTTAACAATCTTCATCCTTTTATTCTAACCCACAAATTCAATTTAATCTTCCACTTTTATCTCCTGTTAGTGGTACAATTATGCTAAATTCACTTTAGTCACTTTACCCCTTACCCTCATGCATGTACATGTGCAGATCTGTACATACTACATGCATTTCTTTCACTAGAATATACAGTATTTTATTTTTGCTTCTAAGATTTTATTTTAAGAAAATGCTCAGCTACTAATGAGTTGCGAGTAAACGATTGACGTAGTTAGTTAGTGGTCTGTCCTTCACCTCTGGATGTGATTAGCAGTCTGCATGGGGGTGACGGGGGTGATGGGGGTGGGCCCTGAGGCCTCCTGGGTGGTCCGGTCCTGGCCTGTGGGTGGCGGATTGCATTTCCAGTCACGGAGGGAGCCGTACGGAAGCTCTGCGTGATTTAGTGTCCCGCACAGGGATCAACGTGACTGCTGCTGCTTTCTCAGAATCTGGTGTCGTCCCGCGGGGAGTCCACAACCTCCACCACCAGAACCCCCCCCCAAAACTTCCACAACCTCGCCCACCAGAACCCCCCCCCCCCCCCGCCCCCCCCCCCAAAACTTCCACAACCTCCACCACCGGGCCGGTCCCTGCCTCATGCTCCCCACACCAACCTGTAACCTCCAAAACAGATTTTACTGAAGCCAAGCCACTGAGCAAACACACGGCACGAGGATCCCACAGGAGAATGGGCTGATTCAAAGTTTCCAACATCAGCTGACATGGTCGTTGCATCGGTGTTTGTACAAAATGTGAGGATAAATGTAGTTTCTAAAGGACTTTCGGTCACATTTTAGATTAGCCCTCACTTATTAACAGCTAATCAAGTGCTAAGTGCTCATAATTGGTATTTATTACATACTTAGTCCTTTATTCAACATCTAACTAACTACTAACTGACAAAACAAGATACACTACATTAACAAGAATGAAGATAAAATCCTTCAGTTCTCTGCAGCGAACCGAACTGGACCTGGATTTGAACATGTCAGAGAAGCCTGTCTCACATTTTCAGGAAGACTGTTCCAGATTTTAGCTGAATCTGAAATGCTGCCTTCGCATGTTTGATTCTGACTCTAGGAACCTGCAGGAGGCCAGTCCCTGTGCTCCTCAAAGTCCAAGTTGGTTCATTTGACGCTAACATGTCTTAGATGTACTAACTTCTTTACCCCCTTAACCTTAAATATGGAAAAGACATCCATTCACTTTTGCTCACATACAAAGTGCTGCTGTGACTTTTCCTCAGTCTGTACTAAACACTTTGTTTGTCTGAGGTCCACATTGCAGAGAAGGCTGTGTAAATAAACAGCGTGGAGCAGGCACAATGCACACCTCATCAGAATGTGTTTTTTCCTCCTTTTATGAAGAGGAACAGCTGCGTTTGGGGACCACAGTTGTTTCCTCGTGGAGCTCAGGTCACAATGAGCCACTCGTTCCATATACTGCAGACACACGACGTCCGGACAAACACCATGTACAGACTGCTTCACAGCAGCAGCAGCAGCAGCAGCAGAAGCACTAGCGCACCTTTACATGACCCACAAGAGTGATGAAAATAAGTCAGAAATTTCTGAAATTTGGCAATAAATAAATTTGGCAGTAAATATTAAAAAAAATTTACTGGCCACTCCGACTGCCTGCCCAGAGCCTTTCTTTGTGGAGTTCCCATAGCTCTTCATTCTTTTAATCTTCATCTATCGTTCACTATCACGTACTTTCATTTGTACTATTCTTATTGTGTGTCTTTAGGCTTGTTGTTTGATGAGATAAAGAGGAGGAACAGGTGGTTGTTGTAGAATGGATGGAGAAGGAAAAAGTGGACATCACGTATGTTGTTTTTGTTCATCCACTGCCAATGTTTGTGTAACAAAACAACGATACCATCGGTGTTACAAACACGATCTCTGAAGGTGTGTGTACGTGTGTGTGTGTGTGTTTGAGCGTGTGTGTATATGTATTATCTCCATCCATCTGTTTTTGTTTGACTTTGTATGCTGGACCCCGTGCATAAGCTTGTGTAGCTTCCTAGGGTGTCCATTTCTTTTTCTCTGTGTCACGGAAATTGAATATAAATTTCAATGTATGAATAAATGTGTGATACTGTGAAGAAGAATAAACTGAACTGAACAGACACAATTTGAATTTTCTGAGCCATGAAGAATGATTTTAATTCCTACATATTACCCTGTTGTATCATAAAAGGTTTACTGTTTGTTGTCCACTACAAAGAGCATTATTTCATCGCTATTGAAACTGGACCACATTCTTTATACATTTGAAATATCTGCCTTTATTGTTCTGATGCAGGGTTACTATAATATCTTGAGTTGGTATTTAATGTTGTCTCAGTCTGTGTGTTGCTGCTGGTCCTTACGGCTGTTTTGGTTCTCGGTGCAGTGCCCTCTGGTGGACAGATATCGACGTTACACAAGCTGCTCTCTCATTCACATATGTGGGATTTGATTTACTTGCATAGTGTACTTTTGTCTTTTATACATAGAAAAAGTATCTACAAAGTATAGGTATTTAGATTAATATATATATTTTTTAATTCTTTCTATTCCGTGTTATTCTATTATCCTGTATTATTGTGTTTTGTATGAAAACCAGAAACTTAGAAATGCAGTATTCCAGAAAATCCTTATTAAAACCAATGTTATTTGGGTTAAAGTGGAGTTAGGATGTGGTTTTTCTGAGGCCAAGAAATCATGGAAAAATCCAGCCCTGGAACAATTCTGTTGACTTTTAAAATAGAAAAGCCTTACATTTGGTAGGGACATAAAACAGCTGTTGATTAGTGGGGGCTAATCTAAAGTGTTACCAAACATTTAGACTAAAGATAGACTTCAGACTTTATGGCATTTATTTCTATCTACAAAAAAAAGGTGTAAATGACATGTTTCTGTATTTTACTGGTGTCGTAGTTGTGTGTTTTTATCCTGTTGTCACGTTCTGAGGCGTCTCACTGTCGTCTTCTCGTCTTTATAACTGATCCACATGACTCATCCACAGTATAAAGAGTGTGTGTGTGTGTGTGTGTGCATGTGTGTGTGTCTTTGTTGCTCCATCGTCATGTGTTTTTGTGTGTCTCTGTGCGTGTGTCTGATCTCTTTGTGTGTGTGTGTGCATTTGTGTGTGTATGTTTGTGTGCTTATGTCTGTGTGTATGTCTCTCTGTGCGTGTGTTTCTGCGTGTGTCTTTGCTCCATTCTCATGTGTTCTGTGTGTGTATTTTTGTGTCTGTGTGCGTGTGTCTGTGCTCCATCCTCATGCGTTCTGTGTGTGTATGTTTGCCCGTGTCTGTGTGTGTGTGTGTGTGTGCGCCCGCTCTGCCTGTGCCACATCCGGAGCCTCTGTTTACTGCCTCTGCAAACAAGGGGAAGCCCGCTGCAACAAAAAGACCCAGTAAAAATTGATGAAGTGCAATAATAAACACACAAAGGTCCGTCTCAGAGATTTGGGGCCAGAAAAACAAAACGCTGGCGACAGGAAAAGGGCCAATGTGATTTCAAGATTTTGGACTAAATAAGGCTCCATATTTGACTTAGAGACATGATATTTGCCAATACTCGGATTGGATTGTTAATGTTTAAGTTTTTATTTTTACAATTCCATCAAATGACTAGAAAGTATTTTTATTATTGAATAAATATTTGACAGATATCCTTTGCTAATTACTTAATGATTCAGTTTAGTTCTACTTGGGTCCAGACTACATTTTTCTTCCAGTGGATGCCTTCAGGTTTGTTATATATAAATAAATACAGATTTTTTTTCTCACATTTAGCCAGTGGAATTCGGTTGGGCTCTCCACAAAAGGGCGATATCCCAGTATGGCCCCTCTACAAAAATAATGGCCGACCACTAGTCTGACCAATTCATTCACAATATTATGCATTTTACGATGATCTGCCACCTCTACATACATCTTTTTCTCCCAACCCTCAGAAATGAAAACATTAGGACCCCAAATGGGCCAAACAGCCTAAATGCCCTCCATGTTTACAGCCTCACTCTTTCCCTTATAAAGTGCGTTTCTCCACCGCCTTGTTCTCTTAAAGACGCTGATGGAATTTCAGGTCCACGTAAATAACACGAGCGGATCAGCACGCCAGGTTTATTTGAGCCCCTCTTGTTTATAAAATCCGGAAATGGGCTGTTTGTACTCCTTAACCCCGGCACTTCTGCTGCTATTGACACACTGTACGCTCACTCCTCCGAGGCGTTTTGCAAGCGCGTGTATTATTGCCACGAACAGATGTTTGGGCTATTGTAAATACAGGTGCAAGGAGAGCTCCGGAAGCCCCACGCCGGTGATCAGGCCTTCCGCAGTAATCTCCTAATGCACAAAGTATTTCACAATTCATCTGAGGACACGAGCACAGTGGGGGAGACATGCTTAGATATTCTGCAACACCTACATAATGGGATAAGAGTGTTCCCTTCCTTTGAGGATGTCTTTGCTTCTAATAGATCACATATTAGATAGATAGATAGATACTTTATTGATCCCCGTAGGAGAAATTCCAGCTGCAGAAGACTCATCCAGGTTTGTTGTAGATGTAATCATGGCCTTGATGGATTCAGACAGGCCTCTCGTTCTCTGGTGTTACTAGCTTTTCTTGTATCTCTAATTTCTCTCACATCTGACATGAAACAATTACTTGTTTTTTACTATAATAGTTGGTTTGACTTTGTGTCCTTTGCCAAATGTTTGTCATTGTTTTAAGTGACAAAGCCCTCGTTATAAGTTGCAAAAGAAGAACTGTTGCATTAAAATGTTTTAAAAGTATAATGTGGGTCTCCCCGAGGTTTCTCACTTTTTTCCCACTGGGTTTTTGTGAGTTTTTCCTTGCCGATGCAGGAGGTTCTGTTGGAGAGTTAGTGTCCAACAAGTAAGTAAGTAAGTAAGTAAGTAATCTTTATTTATATACCGCCTTTCACAGACCAGAGTCACAAAGCGGTTTACAATTGTTATTTTTTGGGCATTTGTCTCTCACTCCACACAGAGATGGGAGCGGGGTCGCCGAACAGGAGGCGCATGCCAGACCTATTGTACATATTTTTAGTGGTAGGGGAAACCGGAGTACCCGGAGGAAACCTACGCAGACACGGGGAGAACATGCAAACTCCACTCAGAAAGGCCCTGGTCCGGCCGGGATTCGAACCCAGGACCTTCTTGCTGAGAGGCGAGAGTGCTATCCACTCAGCCACCGTGCCGCCCTAAAGAAGGACTGTGGTGATGATCCAGGACACTTTCACATTCTACAACATGTATGGACATTTATCAACATTCATGGACATTGGTCTCTCCCTATGTTCCAATGCATATGTTTATATTTGTGTCTTAACTGTTGATTCTCTGATCTGTGTTGGTGATTTCAGTGGTTTTGTTAAGTCCTCTGAGATGACTGCTGTCGGGATTTAGATTAACAAACACAAAGACGCTTTACAATTAGTGAATTGTTCTTTCACTCCCAGTGTAATGGAGGAAAGCTACCACAGCTAAGGACTTTCACCATCATGCACTCACTCACCAGGTCAGACTCACGCTGCAATGTGGTGAAGAGTCCCCTGGCATTACAGTGGCTCCGTACTGAACTGCACTTTCTGAACTATAAGGCACACCTGTAAAGATGACCAATATTGTCCTCATACAGGCCGCACCTGAATCTAAGCTGCATGTTTTCGTGTTGTAATGCAGCGGAGAGACGACTGTTTTAACTGGACACAACA